GCTGGCTTGCTATTTTTAGCTGTGAGAGTTTGGCGGTGAATGTTTAAATATTTAGTGATTATTAACAAAACACTAAAGAGTTGTGAATTTCTTCTCCATTGTACAAAAGCATGTCAAACATTAAAAGATTTTTCCATAATTTTTTGGTTTTTGAGACAAGGTCTCACTAAATGGCCTCAAATTCATGACAATCCTCCTCCTCCTCAACCTCCCAAGTATTGGGATTGCAAGTATGCGCCAACACGCCAGGCTCTTTATATAATCTTTTCAGCAATGGCGTAGAGAGAAGGCTGGGCAGGAGTTTAGGAGAAATGCAGAGGTGCTGGTTTGATTTATTTTTTTTCTCTCAGTGCTGAGGATTGAACCTATGGCCTTGACAGTGAGCTTATCACCAGCCCCTTTTTATTTATTTTTCATTTTGGGACAGGGTCTCACTAAGTGGCAAAAATTTTCATGTTGGGTTTGAACTTGGAATCCTCCTGTCTCTGCCTCCCAGAGTGCTGAGATTATAGGGTGACCTACCACACTCAACTAGGAATGGGTTTCAAATTTGGAAGATGCCAATGTTCTTCACATGACAGTGTGAATATATCAGCACTAGAGAACTGTGCACTTAGAAATGGTTAAAATGGCCGGGGACGGTGGTGCACACCTATAATCCTAGCACTCGAAAGGCTGAGGCAGGAGGATCACTGCAAGTTCTGGGGTCAGCCTGGGCTACATACTGAGTTCAAGGCCAGCCTGAACTATACAGTGAGACCCTGTCTCAAGAAGACAAAAAACAGGAGCTGGGGATTTAGCTCAGCGACATAAGTGCCTGCCTTGCAAGCAGGCAGTCATGAGTTCAATCCCTGGTACCAATAAAAAAAAAAAAAAAAAAAAACGAAAAAGACAAAAAAAAAAATTAAAAAAAAAAAGAAGACAAAAAACAGAGAGGGAGAGAGACAGAGAAAGAGACAGAGAGAGAGAAGAAATGGTTAAGATGGTAAATTTCATATTATGCATAGTTGGTCATAATTTAATAAAACATAATTTAATAAAACTGAGCCACAGTCAGTTTACTTTGCTGGTTCTGCAATCTCAATTTCCATTTGAACAGGTCAGGGTGAAGTCATGTAGTATGGAGCAGTGGATTTTTAAATTGTTTTATTTTGAGACAGAGTCTCACTAAGTTCCCACTCTGGACTCTAATTTATTATCCTCCTGCCTCAGCCTCCCACAGGGCTGGAATTGCGGGCCTGTGCCACCCCACTGGGCTTTACATAGCTACACATTCTTCAACAGAGAATTTGTTTCCTTCTGTCCAGAACCACAACAGAAACAGAAGTCTCTACTGTTTTCTTTGTACAGATTGGCACGGTTTTTGTTGTTACCATTTTGGCAAACTTAACACAGAATTTGTGTATGCAGGTGTATGCCGCCAGGCTTGGCCTCTTTTGTTTTTCTGAGCAGGAACTCACTGTGTAATCCAGGTTGGCTTCCAATTCGAAATGATCCTCCTGCCTCTGCCTCTGCAATGCTGGGATCGCAGGTATGTGCTCCACCATGCCTGGGCTGGATGGGTGGATGCCCCATCAACCCAGGGTTTTTAGATTTTGAAAGCAATTAATTAATTTTTTATTGTGGGAATGTGCCCATCATATGAAATTTACCATTTTAGCCATCTTACTGTTTTTTAGGTTTTGCAGTTGAGTGGAACCTGGGGCCTTGAGCAAACTAGGCAAGTGCTTCAGTTCATTTTAACCAAAAAGCATACAAGAGGGGCGTGGTACCACATATCTGTAATCCCACACTGCGGAGGCTGAGGCAGGAGGATCACCATGAGTCCCTGAGTTCATGGTCAGCCTGTGCTACGTAGCAAAAAATGAAATTCACGTGCACATGTGCACACACACACAGAAACCATGTGACACGGAGGCAGACATGGGAGTGGCATCACCTACAAGCCTAGGGATACCAGTGGTTGCCAGAGGGAGCAGGTGTTGGGAGAGGCCAGGAAGGAGCCTTCTCCTCAGAGCCTTCCTCCCCAGAGACATTGTCCTGTGGTTCCCAGCCTCCAGCCCCGGGTGGGAGGCAGCTGCCTTGCGCCACAAGGCTGTGTGCCTGGGAGCCCCACCCCTGGTCTCTCCCTCACAGAAGCCATTCTACAGATTTCTGTCTCTGACTTTTCCTATTCCCCCAGGTTTTGTTTGATTTGGTTTGGCTTTGATTTTGGTTTTGTGAGATGGGGTCTTACTATGTAGATCAGGCTAGCCTTGAACTCACAATATGCCTGGGCTTGTGGCAGTCTTCCTGCCTCAGCCTCTCCCGTGCTGAGACCACAGGTGTGCCCATCACAACCAATTCTTCAGAGTTTTTGACTCCATAGATTTGGGGACCAGAATGTGCCTTTCCAACAACACTGATGCTGCCCGAAGCCTCCCACCACAGTGTAGTCGGCAGTTCAGTGTACCTGCTGGAGCCTTGGGAGTCGAGGTTTGGGTCTACAAATTCGAGCTGGCTGGGCGTGGGGGCACACACCTGTAATCCCAGTGCTGGGGAGGCTGAGGCAGGGTTGTGGCCAGTTCGAGGCTAGCCTGGGCTGCAAAACTGAGACCTTGTCTCAGACCAAACCAAACCAAACCAAAACCAAATGCAAACTGGGGTCATCCCCACCCCACAGCCAGCCCTGGAGTCCAGATCTCTACCTCTCCATCCTTTCCTTGGCAGAGTGGCCTAATCCTAGACTGCACAACAAGTGCTCCTCTCACCTGACACTAAATCCCCAGAACCGTCCTGGTGTAACACTGATGATTAAATCATTCCCACTCTGGAGGCCCAGGACCTCTCCCCATCATCACCCTCTCCACCGCTGCTGTGTGCTCTGGGTGGGCTGTGTTCCCTCCAGTCACACGCAGCATCTCATCTGCAGCCTGTGGGCAGTAGGCGGGAGTGGGGTGGTCAAAAGGTCGAGTGGGATGGGACCAGGCATGCTCGGTGGGACAGTGACCTTGAGCAGACCCTGAGGACAGAGGACAAGAACCTGCCACTGGAAGTCTGTGCTGGACAGGGCTCTGCAAAACCGGGAGCTCAGAGACCCCACTACACCGAAGTGTGCAGCCTGGACATAGGTCCAAGTTCTCCTGCCCGTCCCCCTCTCACTGGATCTCAGTTGCGCAATGTCCTCTCTTTTCCCTTGTCTCTTTACCAAGATAAGGGATGTGGTGATGTGGCGGGAAGATGGCCGGATGGTGCCCAGCACTTTCTCACTGGACTTCTTCCCTGGACTTTCCCTGGTCTTTTCAGACCACAACCCCATGTGTCACTGTCACCAAGCTTCATGATCCAGGCCATACCTTCCCAGGAGCATGGTGGCCTTTCTGATCCTGTTCTTTCCCTTCCCCGAGCCCCCAGGATGGAGACCTGCACTTTCTACTAGGCACTGACTTTTATTTCTTCTGGGCACTAAGTCTCTCCTGGGGCCCTGAGAGACCCAGGCGCGCAGCTCTCCAGCCTGGTGCTCCCCTGACTGGACACTTGGGAATAAGAAGGGCTGAGACCACAGCTCTTCTACTGTGCTTGAGGCACAGTAGGTCAGACAGCTGGGGACCTGGAGGGGCTGAGTCCTGCAGATGTTATCTAATGCTCCTCTCCTCTCCTCTCCTCTCCTCTCCTCTCCTCTCCTCTCCTCTCCTCTCCTCTCCTCTCATGTCTGTGTCTGTCTCTGTCTCTGTCTCTGTCTCTGTCTCTGTCTAGCTTTGCAAATTGAATTCCAGGCCTCATTCTGAGCTACCCCCACCCACTCATTTTAAACAGGGTCTTGCTAAGTTGCTAAAATGCAAAGGCTGGTCTCAAATTTGCCATTCTCCTGTCTCAGCCTCCCAGAGTGCCAGGATTGCAAGCGTGCACCACCACACCTGGCTTTGTCCTTGCTTTCTTCCTCATCTGGAAATGCACAACATGAAAATCTAGATTGTTGAGACTGATGGCGGCTGACTGAGCAGCTTTCTGAAGTGGGCGCATTCCAAAATTAATTGATAATTTCCTAGGATGGAAGAATTCTGATCTTTGACTTGAGACCTCCGACTCCAAGCCTCTAGCTTTCCTCCTTTGGAGCACAGTATTAGGTTCCTTTCTCCTCTTCACCTAGGATCCTCCTTCCAGATGTCTAGCACTGTGACCCTGCAGGACTTGAGCATTGTGTTTGCACCAAACCCACGCTGCTCAAGACCAAGGAGTCTGCTCTGGCTCTGTGGGCCAAGATAGTTCCTCATTTCTTCCTCCAAATACTGAAGACAACTACATCTCCCATGAGGCTAAGGGCTGCAGTGTCACTGAAAAAATGTCATATATATATATATATATATATATATATATATATATATATATTTGTCTTCCTGAAACAGAGTCTCAGTATGGAGTTCAGGCTGGCCTTGGAATTCATTTTGTAGCACAGGCTGGACTCAGACTTGCACTGATCCTCCTGCCTCAGCCTTCTGAGTGCTGGGATTAGAGATGTACAACACCACACCTAGCTGTCCCCCATTTATTGAGGCACCTCTTAGTGCCACAAGAGAACACAAGGATGGGTGGGGGTGAATAAATACGGTTCCAATAGGTGTGACCCCAGCAACTTCAGGACACAGGAGGATCACAAGTTGGAGGCCAGCCTGAGCAACCTGGTGGAAACTTGTCTCAGAATTTAAAAACCTATAAAAGGCTGGGGATGTAGCCTCAGCTCAAGATGCTTGGCCGGTATATGAGAGACCTTGGATTCCATGCCCAGTGGTGAAACAAAACAAAGCACCCAAGAAAACATCTTGTTCTGTTAAACAGCAAAGAGCAAGATCGCCCTACAGACCCTGAGGATACCTTTTCAGAGCAGGACAACGAAGCCCAGAGGGAGGCTGGGATCTCAGTGGGCAGCAGGGGTGCAGGCGGGGTGGCAGGGGTCACAGGGTCACGTGGACACAGGATGCAGAGCCCGGCCCCCCTTTTCACACTGACACACACTCCTTAGATTATCCTCTGTCACAGTCTTTATTATTTTTTTTAAGTCTTTTTTTTTTTTTTTTTGGTCTTTTTCTTTTTTTATCAGTACCAGGGATCGAACTCACGACCACACACTTGCAAGGCAGGCGCTTATGCCGCTGAGCTAAATCCCCAACCCCACACAGTCTTTATTATTCCAAGTAAGAAAACTAAAAAAATAAATAAGATAAATACCCCAATAAATAAGAGGCTAAATTAACAGCCTTGGCTTCAGGAAGTATAGCTGGGGCTTCGGTCCCATAAAGGCCCCACCATGCTCAAAGGGTCCGAGGAGCCCACATCTGGGGGCCCTGGGGGCAGCATCCTGGGTGGCTCCGGGGGTGTTGCGGGCAGGCCTGGTAGTGGCAGAAATCGGGCTGGTCCTGGGGGTGCTGGTTCCTGCGATAGAGAGTCACCGCGCAGCAGGTGCAGAGGGAGGCCGTGGGCTTCAGACTTGTAGACATTGTAGCCATCAGCAAGCAGCAGCTCCCGGAAGCTGCAGGCCTCAGGATCAAAGTGGAGCTGGGGGGAGAGAGAATAGGGGTGTGAGCCCCGAGTTCCTCTATACTCTCCCACTGCATGCCTCCGGGTGCCAGACTTCTGGACTCCTCCCTCAGACCCAGGGGTCCAGGCTCTAGCCCTGTTCAGGAAACCAAATCTCAAGATCTGACTTCTCCTTTATCCCTGTCATAGAGAAGCCACCTGCCTGCCCCTGGTCTAGAATGTTCTAGGCCAGGTAACCTCAAGGCTTCCCTGGGGCAGGCAGCAGGTCTGCCTCACACCTAAGGTCATAGAAAGGCTTCTAGAAAGTCCCAGAGTGAGCCAGGCACAGCGGAGGCCCTGTGGCCAGGATCAGGGGGTGCAGTCCTAAGACTTGGCTTCTCAGGCTGTCCACACATGTCCAGCCTTGCCCTCACACTGGCCCTACCTGGGCCTCAGTGTCCTCAAACACTAGGAACAGTGACTTGCCAAGGCCGGCATTGTGAAGCTGACAGTACAGAAACTCACTGATCCATACAGACTCCCATCGGGCCTCTGGCACAGGAACCTGGAAGTCCTGATTCCCAAGATCTGAATGACTCCTGGCTTCAAGGCTTTCAGCTCCAGGAGACCTGGGGGAGAAAAGGGTAAGACTTCGAGCACCCCTCATCCCTTCTGTTCCAGCTGGGGGTGCCCAGCTCCCACACTCACTTTCAGGGCTCCTGTGGGCAATGCCCCGTACTGAGCCATCGGCCCTGATCTCCAGGTGCACTTCAGTGTCCTGAGCATCATCTGTGTAGAGGTACCGCTGCCGGACCTGGCCCCCAAACTGGAGGAGGGGGCTGGAGTCAGGGATAGGGTGTGCCTGGCAGGCTCCCACCAGAAGGATGGCCAGCATGGAGACCCACAGCCTTGGGCGCTCACACTCAGTCCGGGCCCAGTCCATCAATGGTGCACGCGTCATCAGTGCAGTCCCGGATGTGAGGCTGAGGAGCAGAGTAGTGTAGGATCCAGGTCCCTCTTATCCGGAAGAGTGGATTCCCACTGTGGCTCAGGTAACCAGTGTCTCAGGTCTTCCTGCTGGTGGATTCCAGCTGCCAGGACACCCAAACTCTGGGGACCAATGCAGGCGTTCTGGTGTTTATACCCAGACACACTGCCCACACGCCTTCCCCACTTCTGATTGGTGATATTTGACCCACTTGGCAGGACCCGGAATTCCACCGTGGCCAGAGCAGGCTGGAGGGATGATGCAATGAGGCGGGGGATATGCCAGGCTGGGGGCCTGCATGCTGCCAGGGTCTGCAGGATGGATGGAGGAGACACAGCCTGATTCACTGGGACTGGGGCGGAAGGGGCACAGGACCTCCTTCCTGGGCCAGAGAGAGGAGGATCTGGGGTAACAGACTCCTGAGTCTCAGAGTCAGGGTGCTTGGGCTGGGACCCTAGTGTCAGGGAGTCGGTGGGACCGGGATCCCCATGTCTGTATCTGGAAGGTTAGGGGTTCTAGAAACACCCTCCCTGGGAGACAAATGCTGATTTTATTCCACAAGTGGAATTTTTGTCCCATTTGAATTTCTGTGTTCTAGGGAAGGAGAGTCTGACAGGTAATCTGAGGAAAAGTGCACCTGCCTCCTAAAACAAACCAGGGGTGGTGTCCTGACTCGGAATCCCCCTCCCGCCCCAGGCAAACCTCATTCTCCCCAGATCCCGCTCCGCCCTTGGTGTCCTCTTCCTGATGCAATCCTGGTGCTTCTTTCACCAGCTCAGCTACCTGGCCCAGACAGGTGCTCCCGCTCAGAAAGGAAACAGGAGTCGGTGACTCCGGTTGAGACGCCCCTGGGGCGCAGTGGAGGGCCTGGATTCTGGGTCTGGGGGCAAAGTGCGGAGGAAAGTTGGTCAGATCTTTAGGGAATCGGGTGAAATCTCTCTTTTGGCTGATCCAAAGCGACAGAAATGGTTCTGGGTTGGCAGGAAATTTCTGTGTTTACGGAGGTGGGGAGCACAAAGCCCCTTTCTCTCTGATTGTCACCTTTCTCCTTCCAGAAAGTAGCACTGGGGCGCCAGACCCCCGAATTCCCTAAAACGAGGGGTCGGGGACCGAGTTCTGGGATTTGAATGTGGGTGGAGCGCACGTGGGGACCTGGAAGCCTGGACCTTGGAGAGCTGGTCCTCGGGAGTCCTGGCTAACAGGTTCTCGGTCCCCCGGGGAGGGCGCGGCAGCAGCGCTCCAAGTCCACCCACCTCCTCGGGGAGGAGCGCATCCCGGGCAGAGCGGCCGGACCTGCCGTCCCGGGTGGAGCCCTGAGAGCTCGAGGCCGAGAGGTAGGGGCCGGGGCGCAGCCCTCACCAGAAAGGGGTGGCGGGGGCGGGGGCCGGCCTCGGGCCTGGCCCTGGCTCAGGGCGGGGTCCCCTCCCTGCTACCTGCCGGGCGCGCCGGGGCGGAGGTTGCGTCCCCGCTAGTCCCTTCCTTCCAGTCCAGCCTCCCTGCCAATGGGGGGCCGGCGTGGAGGCGAGGGCTGCAGCCCCAGGACCCCGATATCCGGGAGGTAGGACGGGTGTGGCTCTCGCTCCCTGCCCGCGCGTCCCGGCCAGGCGGAGCGGACTGGGGACCCGCCACCACCCTGCCTGCACTCAGGTGAGTGGCCCTGCGCATGCCATGCCGGATGCCGAGTCCCTGGCGCGCGGGTCCTGTGCCTCTGCTCCAGGTGGCCGGCACACAGGATCCCTCCTCGGGGCTGTCCAGTTTCACTTGCTAGTTACTTCCTGTCTTCTTAATGGTGTGAACTGTGCTGCAACTGAGAAAGGGGTCAGTGGCCAGGCCTTGTTACAGGAGGAGGGTCGGGGCCCTGGCACCACTGCTAGCTTGGAAACCAGTAATTTCTATTGCAGCCCCGGGCAATCCAAACTTCTCAGCCCTCCAACCTATGGCTTAGGCTCTCCTGTCCTCCTGCCTCACACCGGGAGTCTGCATCTTTAGCTTCTTCAGTCACAAGCATCCATCCTGAAGTGGCCTGTCCTTCGGCAGCCATGTGGGCGCCCAGCCCCCGCCAGTTCTGCCTGGGCTTTCTGCTCCTCTGTGTTCTCTCAGGGATCTCTTTTTTTCTCTACCTCAACGACATCTTCCAAGATACCCTTGGATCTATCCTGTGTCAGGACTGCCACTTGCAGGCATCTCCAGTGGCCATCGTATGCCTGCCGGACACACCACTGAGCGCCAACACCTCTTCCCTTGCCCAGCACCCCTCCTCCCTCTCAGGAACCTGGACTATCTACCCCAAAGGCCGCTTCGGGAACCAGATGGGACAGTATGCCACGCTGCTTGCGCTGGCCCAGCTCAACGGCCGCCGCGCCTTCATCCTGTCCACCATGCACACCATGTTGGCCCCTGTGTTCCGCATCACCTTGCCCGTGCTGGCCCCCGAGGTGGACAGCCACATACCGTGGCAGGAGCTGCAGCTGCACGACTGGATGTCTGAGGAGTATTCCCACTTAGAAGACCCCTTTTTGAAGCTCTCCGGCTATCCCTGCTCTTGGACTTTCTTTCACCATCTCCGGGAACAGATCCGCAGTGAATTTACCATCCATGACCAACTTCGGGAGGAGGCCCAGGATATCCTGAGAGAGCTGCACCAGGGCCACGTGGGGTCCCAGCCACGCACCTTTGTCGGGGTCCATGTGCGCCGTGGAGACTATGTCCAGTTGATGCCTAAGCACTGGAAGGGAGTGATAGGCGACCGGAGTTACCTCCAGCAGGCCATGGATTGGTTCCGGGCCCGCTACAAGGACCCCATCTTTGTTGTCACCAGCAATGGCATGAAGTGGTGCAGGGAAAACATGGATACCTCCAAGGGGGATGTGGTCTTTGCCGGCAATGGGCAGGAGAACACACCAGGAAAGGACTTCGCCCTGCTCACACAGTGCAACCACACCATCATGACCATTGGCACCTTTGGCTTCTGGGCTGCTTACCTGGCTGGTGGCGACACCATCTACCTGGCCAACTTCACCCTGCCAAACTCTAAGTTCCTCAGGATCTTCAAGCCTAAGGCTGCCTTCCTGCCTGAGTGGGTGGGTATAGATGCCGATTTATCTCCACTCCAGGCACCCAAAATATAGGCCGGGGTCTTGGAAGGACCTAGGGAGACTTTACATGCAGATCAGATCAATCTAAAGCCACTCTCTGGAGGCCTGGTAGCTTTTGGATAAGCCAGTGGGGTGGTCCCATTTCCAGTTCGATTCTAGTTGGCCAGACTTGGAAAGGAGGAGGGGCTTTCTGGAAGTGCTAGAAGTTCTAGAACCAGTGTCAACTTCTTTCTCTTTCTTTCTTCCTTCTTTTTTTCCTTCCTTCCTTCCTTCCTTCCTTCCTTCCTTTCTTGTTGAATTTTTGAGACAGGGTCTTACTATGCAATTCAGACTGGCCCTGAACTCACTTTGTATTTTAGGCTAGCCTCATACTCGCAGCCATCCTCTGCTTCAGCCCCCGAATGCTGAGATTACAGGCATATGCCACCATGCTTGGCTGGAATACCTATTCCTAGTGGTTAGCAATGTCCAGAGAAGCTTGTGGTAGCTCCAGCAGCTATAGGAGCCCCCTCTGCTCTTTCCTGCCCATATCCCTAAGACTTCTGGGTGGCTGCTTGCCTGTCTTTATCTTATCTACACAAGGTGTTATTTTTCCCCCTGGGTCTTCAGAAGACTGGAGGAATTCATGAGTTATCTAGAGCAAGCATGCACCTACATTTTTGAGTGTTTCTAGAGGAGAGTTTGTTCTAGAGAGGGCCAGGTCTAAAGCCTGTAAAGAACCCTGCAAGGCCCTTCTGGAAGGGGACAGGATCCCCTTCCACTCTAGGGAAGGATCTAGAAGCCATAATTGGAAGGAAGCTTAGCACCTTATCACTGCCAGAAAGATGGGGACAGGGCATTCTTGTGCTCTGTTCAGAGCATGGGGAGTAGCTAGGGAGTTGTGTGCATAGCCAAACTCTGTTCAACCCTCAGCCCAGGAAAAATCTTCACAGTTGAGTTTTGAGTAGGCAGCCTAAATTGTGTGTGTGTGTGTGTGTGTGTGTGTGTGTGTGTGTGTGTGAGAGAGAGAGAGAGAGAGAGAGAGAGAGAGAGAGAGAGATACAATTGACATGCAGCTTTGAAGCACCACCTTCTATTCTAAACCAGGGACACTTAATTTTTCTTAAGCTTCAAAACTGCCAAAAAGGGAAGTAGCACATATTGGCTCTGGGTTTAAGATCAAGGAAGCTTCTACCTCTGCAGCCAGACCATTGTGGATCTGGGGTCTCTTTTTTTCTTAATTGTTTTTGTCCTGGGGTCTGTTTTCTGCAGATCAGCAGCCCACAGAAAGCTAGGGCTATTGTGCTCCTCATCAACTGTTACGTACTTTGAGCTCCCAGAATCACTAAATCTGGCTTTGGCAGATCTGTGATAAATAGATTCAAGGATATGCAGACCCCGAAACCCAACTGAAGCCCAGGCAGGAGCAGTGTCTAATTAAGGAGGATGAGATCTGGACTAAGATTTCAGAAGCTCTTGCTGCATTTTAGATATGGAGGGAAAATTCCTTAGATATCGTAAATGTAATCATGCCCTATCCAAGAACCTAAATCACAACTCTTATCAGGGATTTTCAGGGTACATTCCCCACTCCCCTGCCACAGACAGGAGGGAGAGAATGTGAATTAAAAGTCTACATGATCAATTCCTGTGGCTGAAGATATTTTGGAGCTGTGTGTGTTACATATGCATGTGTGTAAAAGTGGAAGAAAAGGTGGAGAATTTTGGGGGATTTCTTTTGTTTTGTCTTTAAAACACAGTCTTGGCCAGGGATTTAGCTCAGTGGCATAAGTGCCTTTCTGGCAAGCACAAGGTCGTGAGTTTAATCCCCGGTACCAAAAACAAAAACAAAAACAAAAAACACCCAGTCTTGAGGGGTTAGGGATTTAGCTCAGCGGCATAAACGCCTGCCTGGCAAGCGCAAGGTTGTGAGTTCAATCCCTGGTACCAAAAACAAAACACACACACACATACCACCACCGCCAACAACAACAACAACAAAACCAGAGTCTTGAGGGGCCGGGGATTTAGCTCAGCGGCATGCCTGGCTGCCGACTTCATTGCTCATGATGTCTTGAGTTGCAGTACCTGTTTATCTGGTAACCAGAGTCATGCACAAAAAGAGAAAGGCACTTTCCAGGACCCAAAAGGCTCCAAAAGGCTAAGTCTTCAGTATCTTCTAGGATTGTCAGTATCTATTCCAGATCTTTTTTTTTTACTAGGGTCTCAGCAGTCTGCCCAGAAGGGCGAGAAGGTAGAGGAGCTGGGGGGTGGGGGGTGGGCAGTGTCATTGAACTACATTTCCCATACAGTTATGGGGCTGACGGCCCTAGTTTGGGATAGAGAAAGAGGCCCTAGGGCCTTCTGGGAGTTATAGTCCTAGGCTGGAAACAGCCACTACTCGCATCTTCATGGCTAGGCGCCAGGGTTTCCAACTAACCAGTGTGCGAACAGCCGGAAGCCTGGGTTCTGGGGCCAAGGGAAGGGAGGACGCTGCAGGCTATAAACCGGACCTTGGCTGTGGAACCGGAGCAGGCAGATGGCTTTCCTTCCGCCGGCGCTGGGCAAGTTCTTTGGTTTTGGGACTGCCTCTGTGACGTCACGGAGCGCCTATCTAGACCTCCTTGAGTTTCGGTCCAATCCGACTCAGAGTTGGGCTTCTGGGCGGGGCCAATAGAAGCCAGGGGATTGTCTCAAGGGATTGAAGAGGGGGGCCACGTGAGAAGCTCGAAAGAGGAAGTGACAGGAGTTTCTGGTAGAGATAGGACAGCTCACGACTCATCCCAGTCGACAAACTGGATTCTATGCAGCCAGTCTCTTCCTAGTTCTCCACACCCTGTCCTTAATCTTAGTGGCGGGGAGGGGGGGGGGACCACGGGGGTGGGGGTGGGAGGGTATTAGGGCCCCAGCTTCCTCTTTCAGAAGCCCTCAGGAGGTGGCTGGGTTCCTGATCCAACCCTAGGGTTTAAGGGCATAAGTCAGAGATCAAGGTCGGAGAGCCTCGCTGGTTAGGGCACACGGGAGCTCTGTTTGCTGAGAATGGTGTGCCCTGCAAATTAGGGGTCTTTGTCGGGGGGAGGGTGGACAAGGTCTACCGGGCACTGGAAGATGGTTGGGAGACTTCCTTAAGTTTGCAGGGTCCCCAGATTTAGAGATTTTGGGTATAGTTTTGGTTTGAGGGAGCTTTGACTTTGATAATACCGAGGATGGCCCTGTCCTGCACAGTTTATTTGGTGAGGGCCCTGAAATTTCAGTTTAATGTATAACAGGTTTTTGGGGGCTTTGGGGTATCCACTTGAGGCTTGGGGTTATGGATCTCGTGGCTTTGGGGGAGTTGGGAAGGCCATGGATGGGAATTTGGGGAGCCTGTGTGGGTAGGGGGTGGGGTCCTGCTTTAATGCTTTTTTGGGATGCAACGAAGACCCTAAATTTGGGGTCTATGGATTGGGATTATGTCTCATGCTATGGAGACATTCGATGAAGGAGATTTAATCTGGAAATTTCCTAAAGATCCTGTTTCCTGTTTCTGGTAGGGGGCTCAGTGAGGTCCCCTAAAATGGCTTCTCCCCTTTTAGCATCTACCTACTACTCTCAGTTTGGGGTAAAAGGCCCCATCCTGGTGGTATTCAAGGACTGTGCTCTGGCTGTAATGGGCCTACGTTTTGCCCTCCTGTTGGTGGCCCTGGCCTGCTGCCTGCTGTCTGCAGGGTGTTGTATTATATGTGACCCATCCGTGGTGGCAGCGCTGAAGTCCTTGAGGACAGATTACCTGCCTGGCCACCTGAGCTCTAAGCATCATGCAGATGTGATGCAAAGGGTAGAGCATGCCGTGAAGGATTTCAAGAACCTGCAATTCAGCGAGGAATCGTACATGGGGGCTGTTGGTGAGGATGCGGGCTAAGCATGGCCTCTTGGGTCTTGGGGTAGAAGGAGGCTAGGGACAGGGTCTCCTGAGTTCAGGAATGGAGAAGACTGGGCTTCAGATTCTATAGCAAATACTGTTCCCTCTCCCCTTTTCCTGTACCTTTATGTTATAAAACTGCAGGTCCCAGAGGATGATGGCTGGTTACTTCCTTAATCAGGGCCATCCTTGCTCTGTAACCTCCTAGTTTCTACAGGGAGGCCAGCCTAGAGACAGTTGGGTTGGAATGTGGGGTTCTGTATACCCCCTACAGATGAGGATACATTGCAACAGGCATCCTGGAGTTTCCTGAAGGATCTGAAACGCCTTACAGAAAGTGATGTAAGAGGTAAATGCACCAAGGGGGTGTAGGTGGCCCAGAATCTCTCAGGTGAGCCATTGCTGGGGATGGCAGAGCTGTAGGAGTCAACCCCAGGATCCAAGTCAGGTCCCAGCTCACCCTAAGGCTTCCCAGCCACATGATCTTGAGTCAGGGGCTTAACACCTCCTTTAGCTCAAAAACAGAGACTTCAGCAGCTCCTTCCTCCCTCAGCTGTTGCAGTGATTAAATAAATTTATGAGTGTTGCCCAGCTGGGGCTGGGGTCCGGTTGAGCACCTGATTTCAGTGCTGCTCACTGAGCAAGCCAGTAAACAAATCCCAGAGCAGCGTAGTGGCCTGTACCTGTAGTCCCAGATACTTGGGAGAGTGAAGCAGGAGATTTGTGGAATCCAAGAGGTTAAGAACAGCTTGGGCAGCTTATTGACATCCCGTCCCATAGACACATAAGAACAGAATTCCAGGCTCACAGAGGCAGACCTCCTGCCTATCGCCTGAAGGCAGGGCACTGTGCACTCCCTGCTTCCTCCCAGAGGAGCTCTTCGTGAAGGAGCTGTTTTGGATGCTGCATCTACAGAAAGAGAAGTTTTTCATCCTTGCCAAGCGGTTCCAAAAGGAGGGTGAGGAAGGCAGGGAGCTCAGGACCCCAGTCCCAACCTACAACCCTCAGGTGCCTGTCTCAAAGGCCTTGCATCTCAGAGTCCAGTCTCTCTGCTTCCTCAGCTCCTCCTCCCTGCAATTCGCAGAGGGGACCTCACTCAGGTCCTTCCCTCCCCCTGGAGCCCAAGAGCTCAGAGCTCACTCCAGTCCCAACCCCTTCAACCTTCTTTAGCCTAAAAATCTGATTCTCTCATCTCTTTCTCTTCTTTTCCCGCCTGAGGCAGCTTATTGCCCTAACAAATGTGGTAAGTCCAAATAATAGCCATTAGCCCTCTGTCCCTCATCCCTGCCCTCCCAACCCCAACCTCCCCTGCTTCCCTCTTTGGAGAGGGCGGTTTCTTCATTCTGCAATCTCTGAGAGCCTCCCGGGCCTCCAGCATTCTCTCTGCAGCTTGATTTCTTGGGTATCCGGTGGTATTCTATCTGCATTCTTTGCTGTCTCATTGGTGGGCCCATGTCTTAGGGATCTGACGCCCAGTGTACCCCAACCCTTGACCTTGCCCTTGCCTTTATTGGGCATATACACGCCGTGGCCTTGTCTCTTCAGGCATGATGTTGCAGACTCTGATCTGGTGCAATAAGTGCGAGAAGGAGGTCTACACCTGCCTGAAGTCTCTCAATTGCGGGAGTGAGAACTAGAGCTGGCTGGAGGGGTTGGTGCGGGAGGGGCGGGGCTAGAGGAGGGCCCGCCCGCTGCTCTGTTTGAGGGGAAAATGAAGGCAGAAGGAGCATTCACAGCCCCTTCCTCAGATCGCCATGTGAAGCTCCATCAAATGGAAGACATGATCCTGGACTGTCACCTCAACTGGCACCGTGCCTCTCAAGGACTCACGGACTACAGCTTTTACAGGGTGGGGCCCTCCAACTCTCTTATCTCTCAAGCCCACATCCATCAGACTCCCTCCACCCCTGGATCTGCTGGCCCCAGAGTGTTAGATGTGGCCTCTACTGACCACCGGGGACCCCATTTCCTAACCGGTGTCTCCCTTGATCTCTCTCTCTCTCACCCTGAGGCTCTGCGATCATGTCATCCCTGTATTGCCCAACTCCTGAATCTCCCAAACCTCTGTGATCCTTTGAGCTTGGGTCTAGGTTTGGGAGAACAAGTCTGAAACTCTGCTGTACAAGGGGAAGGAGCCCCTCCTGACCAAGCCCTTGGTGGGGCCAGAGGATGCAGGAGACTACCGCTGTGAATTGGGGACCATAACTTCCCAGCCAGCCACCATAATCAATTTCCTAGTTACAGGTCAGCTCTGGGTGAGGGGTAAAGAAGGGAGTTTTCCAGAGAGCTGGAGGCCGCTTCGGGGGCGTGATCTGATCGGGGGCGTGGCTTCCTTCTGGGTGTGGCCTCGGGCAGCTCGGGAAGGGGGTTGGGTACTGGGGCGGGGCGCCTTCATCCCCGGCCAGGACCGCTCTTTTGCCCCTCGCCTACCAGTGGGGCCCAAAAGGCTGGAGGACCAGGAACAGTCAGATCTAACTGAAGGAGTGTCAGAGTCCATTCCTGGGACCCTTCCGTCTGCGAAGCCCGAGAATATGCTCAGAAGCCGCCTTTTAGTACTGCTGATCTGCGGCTTTATCGGTTGTATACTTTTGATAATCGGCGCAGTTACAATGTGAGCCGCTACAGGAGGCGGGGCTCGGAGGACGGGGCGGGGTTTCTTGCTGCCCAATACAGTAGGAGGCCTGGGAGCCAATGAGAGCCTGCACAGTGGGTGGGGCTTCTACTGGGGGTGGGGCTTGCTTTGAAGGGTGAGGATGCAAAATTTCTAGAATAAAGTCAGATTTGTGGGATGTTGGGAGAGCTATCACTTGTTCAACCACTGCCTAACCCGGCTCCATTATTTGCACCCTCCTCACCCTCTCCCAGGCTGTATCACAGGTCTAAGACAATGGTTAAACCAAAGTCCTCACCTCTCAACACTGATAGCGAATCTGCTGCTGAGCAACCAAAAGAAAAGGCCTCAGATCTGGAGAGCGAATAAAGATTTGTCTTTTTGTCTAAGTATTTGACTCACTGTTCCGGTGCGATCCAAACTTCTGGTTCCATGACAGGAGACGACTGGGGTTAGGCTGCTGCCTGGGAGAGGTGGGTCTGGGAGCTGGGAGCCCCAGGGTCCGGTGTGCAGAGACTAACAGGCAGCGACAGAATCCCAGAATTAAGGAGCAAGGCAGGGCCGGCCTTGCCCAGGTCTCCTCCCCCAGGCCTGGTCTCCTCACAGGACGCCCCCTCCCCTCTCTTCCTGCCGGGTTTCCTCTGGCCTTTTCCTGTCCCCCACCCAGTGCAGGGAGCTGGGGCACAGGCAAAGACTACAAGAGCGGAGGGAGCAGGGACTAACTTGGGCCAACGGAGCCAGGGCCTCCGGGTGCTGCTGGACCCGAAGCAGGGTAAGCGCCAGGGACCCCGGAGTCAGTCCCACAGCCTTCTCCATCCCGGGACCGGAGTCCCACGCCCATCTCTCTTCTCCAGGCCTTTGGCCTTCTTCGGAGCCTAAGCCCAGCCCCCATCCGCCTGCCTCAGGAGTCCAGGTCCCTCTCCACCCCCTCCGTCACCACCATCCAGTGCCTTAGACATAGGGGCTTTATCTACTTATGCTTAGGGCCATGCTATCTGGTGAAAGGAAGGAGGGCGGAAGCCCCCGCTTCGGGAAGCTACATCTCCCGGTGGGCCTGTGGATCAATTCCCCCAGGAAGCAGCTCGCCAAGCTGGGGCGGCGCTGGCCCAGCGCTGCCTCTGTCAAGTGAGTGGTCACCTGCCCTGCCCACCTCCCACCCTCTCATTTGCCCCTGTTGGTGACCCAGGCCTTGCACTGCCCCTGAGAAGCCTGCTGTCTTGAATGGGCAAGGGAGCTAGCTGGGGGCGGAGAGGACACACTCAGGGACCCTAGTGCGGTGTCACGGCGGGTGGGGGCAGAGCTGGACCAGGAGATGGGCAGAGAAGGCGCAAGGGTTTGACTCTCCTTTCTTTCTCCCCTTTAACTCCCCTCCTGACAATTCCTTCTGTGGGAGTTGCCTTTATTTATTTACTTTCTCTTCTTTTCCTCCAATTTCTATCCCCACCCTCATTTGTCCACCCCTCTGCCCGTCTCTGGTTCGTGGCCACCTTTCTTCTCTGTCCTGGTCTCTCCCGCGTCCGTCCCCACCCCACTCGCAGGTCCTCATCTTCCGACACGGGGAGTCGCAGCAGCGAGCCGATGGCTCCCCCGCCACCGCACGTGGAACTGCGGCGCGTGGGCGCCGTGAAGGCGGCGGGGGGCGCCTCGGGCAGCCGCGCCAAGCGCATCTCTCAACTTTTCCGGGGCTCAGGAACCGGGGCTTCGGGGACCGGCGGGGGAGGGGTCCCGGGAACCCCGGGGGCGGCGCAGCGCTGGGCCAGCGAAAAAAAGCTGCCCGAGCTGGCGGCGGGCGTCGCCCCCGAGCCCCCGCTGGCCACCCGCCCCACAGCACCCCCGGGAGTCCTCAAGATCTTCGGGGCGGGGCTGGCGTCGGGGACCAACTACAAGAGCGTGCTGGCCACGGCGCGCTCCACGGCACGCGAGCTCGTGGCCGAGGCGCTGGAGCGCTACGGGCTGGCCGGCAGCTCCAGCGGCGGCCCAGGCGAGAGCAGCTGCGTGGACGCCTTCGCGCTGTGCGACGCGCTGGGTCGGCCCGCAGCGGGCGGCACGGGCGGCGGCGAGTGGCGCGCGGAGCACCTGCGAGTGCTGGGCGACTGGGAGCGCCCGCTGCTGGTGCAGGAGCTGTGGCGCGCGCGGCCCGGCTGGGCGCGGCGTTTTGAGCTGCGCGGCCGCGAGGAGGCGCTGCGCCTGGAGCAGGAGGCCTTCGGGGCGGCTGACGGCAAAGGTGAGCTGGGGTAGGGGGGTGGATTGGTGTGGAGGCTGCTCGAGAGTGGTCGCCTGCCTAGGGGGTCGTGCTGGGGCGGGGATTTCGGGGGGTGGGCCGGCGATACTGGACCACTGGGACTTGGCCGGCGGTAGCTCTCCACTGGTAGCGTCGAGGGGTGTGCTGGGCAGATCAGGTTGGAGGTTGGAGCTGGGGCAGGGCTGAGATCAGTTGAGTAGGCGGGATCAAGGGGGCGGTTCTGAGAGTTGGAGAGGCCTGTTTGGTTGAACGGGCTTTATGGGGAGGGCCATGGGACCATGGGAGGCACAGCCCAGATGGTGATCGTGGGAGGTGTCCTAGGTGGTCAGGTTCAGGCTGCCTTTTTTTTGTTGCCGGGGAATCAAACTCACGACTTTCCGCTTGTGCCACTGAGCTAAATCTCCGGCCCAAGTTGGCTGAAGGAGGGAGGCTGAATGTGTTGTGGGTCTAAGAGGCATAGATGCTTAGATCGTGTCTGTGGGATCTGGGGGCGGGATATGCTGTGGATGGGGGAGGAGTTTGTAGGGTACCGAGGGATTCGGCTTAAGCGTTGATGGAAATGGAAATTGGAAGAATTAAGAGCGGAGGAATAGGCATGGGTGATGTCCTTGGACATTCAGAGTAACAGGCAAGGCGGGACCTGAGGTCGGGATAGGTGATGTGTAGTGGCATCCGGAACGCGGTCTCGTGGTAGTGGGAGGCAGCTCTGTGAAGCAGATTGAGGCTGTCCGGTTCGAGGGTAGGGACCTACGTGGGTAGAGCCTAGGAAGGGATGAGAACTGGAGAAAAAGGGCCTCTTCTGGGATCTGGAGGACCTGAGTAGGCGGGGCCTCCAAGGGGCAGGACTGTGTGAGCAGCCTTAGATTGGGTTATTTGCTTCCAAGTATTAGTGAAGAGGGGGCTAGAGGAAGAGGTTTTTTGGTTTTGTTTTTTACCTTTTATTAGTACATGTTTTCAGTACATAATGATTACATTCATCATGGGGTGTTGGTTCATGTATACAACACATCCTAATTCTTTTTCCTTCCCCTTTCCCTCTTCTCCCTGCCCCTCCCCATCTCCTGGAGGAAGAGGTGGCATTGAAGGTGGAATAGCAAGGGCAGGATGGAGCTTGGCAGGGCTGGGGCATGGTGGGGCTGAGGTCCAGGGCTGCTTAGGGAACCCTCGAACTGCTTTTCTATTTCTAAATCTCCCTTGGGGGTTTGCACTCAGGCTTGGATTCCAACCCATTCTTTGCCTGTTAATCTCAGCAAAGTGCTAGGTGAAGGTTTAGTGTGTTTGCGTACATAAGGGATTTAGCACAGTATAGATGCTTAATAACAAGTGGCAATTAGAACCATCATCCCCCCCCCCCAGCATTCACTGAGCACCTACTGTGGGCCACATTTTTAGGGCCCTGGGGATACATCGGGGCATGGACAAGTGAGGGTCTCACTTTCCCAGTCTCATAAGCTTCATGGGAATCAGCAGCTTACTCATTAAGTTTATTTCCACCAGACACCTACTCTGTGGCTGGGTCCAACAAGCTCTTTTTGGGCCTTGGTATGGTTATTTGCTTCGACTTGGACTGTCGGGGAAGGGTGTTCAGAGGAGATTATTTTCATCTCCCTGAGGACAGTATTAGTGACTACATCAGTCTCCAGCACATAGTAAGTGTTTGGGAAATGTTTAAGAGAACAAATGAATTTATGAGCTGAAAACTCATAAATTTATGAGCTGAAAAGGTGGGTGGAAGCCAGGCAGGAAGTGTGTTCCAGGTAAAGGGAACAGCATCTACAAAACCTAAGTGTGGGAAGCGGCCTCACCTCTCCGTGACCCGTTCGGTGGCCTGATGATCCTCTAGCCGCGTTCTCAATATCTCTCCGCAGGCACGGGCGCCCCCTCCTGGCGGCCGCAGAAAAGTCGCTCCCGGGCCGCATCTGGAGGGGCGGCGCTGGCCAGTCCTGGTCCAGGGTCGGGATCTGGAACCCCGGCTGGGTCCGGGGGCAAGGAGCGCTCGGAAAACTTATCCCTGCGGCGCAGCGTATCGGAGCTCAACCTGCAAGGTCGGCGTCGGCGGCAACAGGAACGCAGGCAGCAGGCGCTTAGCATGGCTCCTGGGGCAGCCGATGCCCAGATTGGACCTGGAGACCCCGGAGATCTCGATCAGTTATCTCAGTGCCTCATCCAAGCTCCTAGCAATCACCCCTACTTTCTGCTGCTCCAGGGATACCAGGACGCTCAGGTTAGCGCAGTCCTTACCTGGAGTTCTTTGTGTCCCATGTCTTTGGAGAGCAACAAACTACAACTCCCAGAATTCCTCCGTCTCAGTGTCCTCAGGTACTCTGGTAGGTGTGGTCCAGCAAGGTTCCAGAGTAGCAAAAAAAGAGGTGGGGGTTAGATAGCTGACAAAGATTTTTTAGTGGAAGAGCTGGGCATGATGGTGCAGGCCTGCAATCACAGCGCTTTGAGAGGCTGAAGATGGAGGACCACAAGTTCGCGCCCAGCCTGGGGAAAGGAAAAAAAAAAATTCCACTAGAGGGACAAACAGGAAATGGTTCATTTCAAAGTTAGGGAAAACACTATGTTCCTCAAGGGAGAGTTAGTCCATTGGAGAAAAGACATCCCTTTCAAACATCCGTTTCTTGAGAAGAAAAAGAGTGCATCTATTAGGACAGGGAAGTCAGGTGGTGCCTGGGATCTGGTTCTGGATAAGCCTATACAGTATTTTGATGGGGGTGAGGAGTACTTCATTTGTAAAAGATGATGGTTTACGTTGGAACGACTTAACTGTTGTTGATGACAGCAGGTGGTACTGACACTTCTACATATTTTTCATATTTGGGTGACAATAGGAGTACTAGAACGTCAGATCTATTTTAGGAAGAGGGTCAGGCAGTGCTTCCATTTTTACAGGATGGAGGTGAAAGAGTCCAGTTTTAGGAAGGGGTCTTCTGCATGCATCTCTTCATTTAGTGGATGAAATAGGACTCTGTAAGAAGGGATCTCTTTGAAGCATCTATTTATTAATGGAATTATTAGATGAACCCAGGAAAACCGATATTTCTATAGAGATGTCCACTTTGGAGATGGTAATACTGAGAGCTCTTGTTGACTGGAATCCTCCATCATGCGAAGGGGTAATAGTGAATCCATTGTTGAAGGATGTTTCCTGGGAGGTGAGCTCATCTTGGGATGGGGCTAAATGAAAGTCCACTGTAGAAAGGATTTCCTTAGACGTTTGCATTCAGGGAGTGGAGGTAAATGGAAGAACCTTCTCTTCAAAGGGGGACTCTGAAGAAATCCATCCTTTGCTTTGAGATGTTGAGAAACTGTTATCTCAAGGGCAAATGTATTTGGAAATCTCCATGAGAGGTGGAATAAAGGACAAGTGAGCCAGAAAAAGGGAGAAAGGTCCATTCTTAGAAGGTGTAGACATTAGGGTGTCCTTGGAAGCCCTGTTCCTTGGGCTGCATGTCATGGGAGAGTCCACTGTGGGAGTGACAAGAGTCCCTTCAGGAGCACTGAGAAGATGGGTCAGTCCACTGGCGAAAGAATCCGAAAGCAGCTGTTCTTTGAGGAAGGAACACGGTGGGGTCCACATCGTGAAAACGTTATTTGTACACGGGGTCTTTGGGATGCACATTATGGGAACACCTACCATAGAAAGTGCCTTGGAAGATCCCATTCATGGGAGGCAGCGTGCGCGGAGAGTCTTAGGGTGAGCCTGGAGATCTCCTTGCAAATGTCCACTCATGGATGTGGGTCGGGAGAGATGATCGTGGGACAGGGATCTGCTGGGCGTTGGTGTCCTCAGCGCCATCTTTACTTCTCCTCCAGGACTTCGTGGTGTACGTGATGACGCGGGAGCAGCACGTGTTCGGCCGGGGCAGGACCCCGTCGTCCTGCAGCGGATCCCCTGCCCCATACGTGGACACCTTCCTCAACGCCCCTGACATCCTGCCGTGTCACTGCACAGTGCGCGCGGGCCCTGAGCCCCCAGCCATGGTGCGCCCATCCAGGGGCGCCCCAGTTACGCACAACGGGTGCCTCCTGCTGCGAGAGGCCGAGCTGCACCCCGGCGACCTGCTGGGGCTGGGCGAGCACTTCCTGTTCATGTACAAGGACCCGCGCGCCAGTGGCTCTGGGCCGGTTCGGCCCCCGTGGCTGCCCGCGCGCCCCGGGGCCACGCCTCCCGGCCTCGGCTGGGCCTTCTCCTGCCGCCTGTGCGGCCGCGGCCTGCAGGAGCGCGGCGAGGCGCTGGCCGCCTACCTGGACGGCCGCGAGCCCGTCCTGCGCTTCCGGCCGTGCGAGGAAGAGGCGCTGCTGGGCGAGATCGTGCGCGCCGCGGCCTCGGGCGCCGGGGCCCTGCCACCGCTCGGACCCGCCACGCTGCTCGCGCTGTGCGTGCAGCATTCCGCCCGCGAGCTGGAGCTGGGCCACCTGCCGCGAATGCTGGGCCGCCTGGCCCGGCTCATCAAGGAGGTCGTCTGGGTGAGCGCCCCCCACCGCCGCCCATCCCCACCTGCTCCCCGAGTCTCTGCCGCAGCCTCCCCGCCCCACCATCTGCCCCAGCTTCGGATGCGGGAGAGAGAAACTACCTTTCCCGTGATGTCTCCGGGAGGGGACCGGTAGGATGCTGGGAGTTGTGGACTCGTCCACTGCACTGAAAGAGCAGGCAGTACCAGCTTTTGGAGGTGTGGGATTGGGAAGGAACCATTCTGAGAAGTGGCGGGGGTGAGATTTGGTTGGGAGAGACCATTGTTAGAGGTAGTACAGTACGGACGAGACCATTCTTGGAAAGTGGGTCCCTTGGCTTACATATGGAAGTGCTACAAGTCATTTAAAGTAGAGAAGAAGCTTCCATCCTATTGAGCGAGGCCCCGAGTCAAAGAGAAGTTACAGGTAGTTTCTGGGGGTGGGGGGTAAGGAAATACCTTTTGAGCAGAAGAGGGCTGGAGGGAGATAGACCTCTCATGAGCGTAGGCCTGTGGGTTTGCAATGGTGAGAAGAGACAGAGATCATTGTGAAGCTTGGGGATTAGAGTCCCTCTGAAAAGTAGAGAGAGTCTCTGTTAGAAATGTTGGTTGTGGTAGGCATATGCCTGTAATCCCGGCAGTCTTGGAGGCTGAGGCAGCCTAGCTTCCATAATTTTGCAACTTAGTGAGACACTGTCTTTAAAAAACAAAAAGTGAGGATTTAGCTCAGCGGTGTAAGTGCCTGCCTTGCAAGCATGCAGTCATGAGTTCCATCCGCCGTACCAAAACAAACAAACAAATGAGGGGGAGGGGTCAAACTGTCAAGAAATAGATCTCTCAAGTCCAAGCTCAGTGGAATCACTCTGTATTGCAAACATATATTAACAAAAAATTGTAAGGGCTAGGGATGAAGCTGAATGCAAAGGCAACCCTTCTTTCTGAAAGAGAAAGAAAAGAAAAAGAAAAACCAGGGTATTAACTCATGAGCCTTGATTTCCTCAGTTTGATTCTGATCTTACTGTTCCACAGGAAAAAATTAAGGAAATTGGAGACCGTCAGCCAGAGAAGTAAGAGAAAAATCTGGGGTGATGCAGGGGATGGGTACACACCCAGTTCCGAGTTCTTTCCCTGCATGTCTTAGCACAGGTTTCTGTGCTTCTCTGAGGCTCAGCTCTCCCAGTTATGAAATGGAGGTGCACTTGGTCCACACTGAAACCCAGATCTGAGGGTTTGGAGAGTATGATGGCCATTAGAGTCACAGGTTCTGTCCTTTATTTTCAGCCACACAGAAGGTGTCCCTGAGGTGCCCCTGACTCCTGAGGCTGTGTCTGTGGAGCTGCAGCCACTAATGCTGTGGATGGCCAACACCACAGAGCTGTTGAGCTTTGTGCAGGAGAAGGTGCTGGAAATGGAGAAGGAAGCTGACCAGGATGGTGAGCTCTGACCCAGGTCCAGGCCTCTCCCAGCCTTATCACTCACTGGACCTGGACCTGGGCTTCTGGCTGCCAGCGTCTGGTTCTGCCTCTTACCGGGGCTTGTCTTCAGACCCACAGCTCTGCAATGATCTGGAATTATGTGATGAGGCCATGGCCCTCCTGGATGAAGTCATCATGTGTACCTTCCAGCAGTCTGTCTACTACCTCACCAAGGTTGGCCTTTGCCCATGCTTCCTGCTGGAGACACTATCACTTTCTGCCTATACTACATTGTGTTAATCTGATGTCACTTCTTGTTTGGCTCAAAATTTCCTCCTCCTGCAACATCACTTTCATCTCACTTCAGGGTTGTGACATCACTTCCTATTTAAAATTGCATCACTTCCTGCCTTTCTGCCTTCTCTTGTTTAGCAATCATAACACCTTGACAGGCTGAGCTCTTTACATGTTTGTATTGCCATTAATACTTTATCAATCTCTTATTTCCTAAGTCTAATATGAGTTTTACAGATACAGATATAGAGAAACCAAATAGTGCCAGGCACTGTCACTTAATTTAGAGGTCCCCTTTCATCAAGTCGCATTCTAGTGCTTGCTGACCTCACTTCCTGGAACTCTTGATTCACTCCCTTTTCTGAGCCTCAAACTCTCTGAGATCTCTTCCTGTAGGTTGTTTTCCTACTATCACCTTTATTTATTTACTTTTTTGTCAGTCCTGGGGATCGAGCTCATGATCTTGCACTTAACAGGCAAGGGCTTCGGCCACTGAGCTAAATCCCCAGCCCTCTTATTACTATCTTTGACCTTAATATTGCTTCTTGGACTTCATAGAGTTTTTGACTTACAGTTGGCTCCTCTATAAAATAAGAAATTTTGGGGCTGGGGATTTAGCTCAGCGGCATAAGCTCCTGCCTTGCAAGCTTGAGGTCATGAGTTTGATCCCTGGTACCAAAAAGAAAAAGAGAGTTTTTTTTTTTTTTTTTTTGGTCTCTTTGAGTTATGCAGTTCAGGCTGGCCTTGAGCTTACTTTGTAGCCCAGGCTGGTCTCGAACTTGCAAGGATCCTCCTGCCTCAGCCTCCCATGTGCTGGGATTACAGGCGTGAGCCACCATGCCCGGCTTTTTTTGTCTTTTTGAGACAGAGTCTCCCTATGCAGTTCTGGCTGACCTTGAGTTCACTTGGTCTTGAACTTGCAATAAGCCTCCTGCCTCAGCTTCATGAGTGCTGAGATTACAGGAGTGTGCCACCATGCCTGGCTCAAAATAAGAGATCTTTTGGGGAGAGACAGCCTCTAAATTCTTTGAGCAGCCTCACTTGTGAAGCTCTTTCTTCTGAAGTTTCACTTCCTGTACATTTTTGCCAAGTGTATTATTATTTCTTTTGTCTCTGATCTCATTTCCTGTCCTTGGCCTGATCTCACTTTGTACTCGCTAACTGCCCCTCCACTTCCACTTCCTGCCTCTGTCTCATTCTTTTTCTTTCCTTGGAGAATTCTGAATAATTCTTTAACTGAAGAAGGCTTCCTTGCCCAATATCCTTGGTGAGCTGCTGACAATTATAAATGCCATAATTCATGAGAGTTGGTCTTAAAATACCAAAGAAACGTCTATAAATTCTTGTTTTGTTTGTACTGTTTTTCTGAGATAGGATTTCACTATGTAGGTCAAACAGGCCTTGAACTACTATGTAACACAGGTTGGCCTAAAACACACAGTAATCCTACTGCTTCAGCCTCCTGAGCTCTGGGATTACAGCTGTGCCCCACCAGGTCCCGCTTAGAAATTCTTGAGACTTGAGTTGTTCCAGGGCCAATAAGCACTAAAACCCTTGTACAAACTGGGGATTGGCTCAAAGAATCCTGTCAGAAGATAGAATGGACTACAACTCCCAGAAGCCTTTGGTGGAATTTCCTATTTATTTATTTTTAATACGGTGCAGCCACTTTGAGGACTTTCTTTTTTTTTTGGTACCTGGGATTGAACTCACAACCTCAGGCTTGCCAGTCAGGCGCTTATGCCGCTGAGCTAAATCCCTGGCCCCTGGAGCCTCCTATTATCTACTATTCTGGATTTTCCAGGGAGTGTGGTCTAGTTATTAATGTTTTTGCCTCTGTATCTCCTCAGACTCTTTATTCAACATTGCCTGCTTTGCTGGACAGCAACCCTTTCACAGCTGGGGCAGAGCTGCCCGGCCCCGGCTCAGAGCTGGGGGCCATGCCCCCGGGTTTGAAGCCTACCCTAGGCGTGTTCCAGGCAGCCCTGGAATTGACCAGCCAGTGCGAGCTGCATCCGGACCTTGTGTCTCAAACTTTTGGCTACTTGTTCTTCTTCTCCAATGCATCCCTTCTCAATTCACTGATGGAACGAGGTGAGGATTGGGCTGGGAAGCACAGGGATGCAAAGATAAGATGGGAGCTCCCAAAGCAGCCACATCTGCTAGCATCAGCACGGGCTCAGGGGAAGCAGGCTCCAGTCCCAAACTCAAGGCCAGGAAGCATCTGGGAGGCAGAAAACCATCCACGCATCCATCATCCTTTTTCCCTTTCCCTCACAGGGCAAAGCCGACCTTTCTACCAGTGGTCCCGAGCTGTCCAGATCCGCACCAACCTGGACCTTGTCTTGGACTGGCTGCAGGGGGCTGGGCTGGCTGACATTGCTACTGAGTTCTTCCGGAAACTCTCCATTGCTGTGAACATGCTCTGTGTACCCCGTACCTCTCTGCTCAAGGTGACCTCTGGTCAGCTCTATTTGACCTCTGACCTCTGACTCCTCAGCCCTGCTCAAGCACCTCCAGAGCTAGCATCTTCTGGCCCCAGGAATAACCATGTCATGCCCAGCCCTAGCTCAGACACTGCATGGCCATTGGCAGTAAGAAGGAAGCTGGCCAGCACCAGCAGTGACCAAATTCAACTGTGTCAGAATCCCAGTGGTACCTATTCAGTTTGCAGGGTGCTTCCTCAGACATGTAGAGTATTGCACTAATGAATGTCACAATTAAAACTTGGAGGTCATCAAAGCTGAGTGTGGTGGCACAGAATCTCAGCACTCAGGAGGCTGAGGCAGGGAAGATCACTGGGATTTTAAGGCCAGCCTCAGCTATATAATGAGACCCTATTTCAAAAACAGACAGAAAAAAAAAATAGATAAAAAGCAAAGCAAACAAATAGACATAAAACAAATCCCAGTCATTGAATATAAACTACAGGCCAGGCACTTATATAATGCTGAAACATTCTCATGAAAGTAAGTTATTAACTGCCAGACATGGCAGTTACACCTGTAATCCCAGTACTCTGGAAACTGAGGCAGGAGGGATACCATAAGTTTGAGGCCAGCCTGGGCTACACAGTGAGTTCAAGACCAGACTGAATTACATAGTGAGACCATCAGTAATAATACTAAAAAAAACCTAAACTGTTAACTGATAATTTTCCAGACAAGGAAACTGATTCATGTAGGACAGGTCCTTTGATTTCATTTATTTTATTTTTTTTCCTGGGGATTGAACTCAGGACCTTGTGCTTGCCAGGCAGGTACTTGCAACACTGAGCTAAACCTCCAGCCTTTATATACTTCCTTATTCTGTGGTACTGGAGGTTGAACCCAGGGGCCTTGGCACTGAGTTACATCCCAGCAACCCCAGTCTCTTTCTTATTTTGAGACAGGGAGGTTTTCCCTAAATTTCCCAGGATGAATCCCAGAGTGCTAGGATTACAGGTGTATGTTAACATACCCAATTTCATTTACCTTTTTTTTTTTTTTTTTTTTTTTGTTATCAGGGAACCAACTCAGGACCTCACACCTACAGGCAGGCGCGTTCGACACTGAGCTAAATCCCTGGCCCCATTTACTTTCTTTTATCAAACATTTAGTCCATTTAAGAAACCCCAAGCAGTGTTCCAAGTACTTTACAATCTTCCTATATTGTGTCTTCAGAACTACCCTACTAGTCTAGTCTCCCAATGTAGAGATGAGGAAAGTGAGGCAGTGATTTTACAGGAGGTTAACAGGTAGCCAATCTGAGATTTTTGAACTCAGGCAATCTAGCTAGAGTCTGATTTTAACTACACTGATTCTGGTGTCAGCTAGACCCCCAGAAGAAACACAGAAGTTACACACAGCTACAAAATTAGTGGCCACAATGGATAAGAAATCGTGTCAGTAATGTGTAATCCAATGGCCAATCTTATTCTCTGCCTCCTTCCTACATCCTCATTTACTGTGAAGCAGATACTTTTTGTTTGTTTTTAATTTGAGATAAGATCTTGCTATGCAGTTCAGGCTGGCCTGGAACTCACTATTTAGCCCAGGCCGGCCTCAAACTCATGGTGATCCTCCTGCCTCAGCCTCCACCATAGTGCTGGAATTACAGGTGTGTACCACCGTGCCTGGCTCAGCACATCAGTTTTTTAAAAATCCTGACAGCACACCCTTCTCCACTGTCACTTCAGAGACTGCCAGCTTCATGGTGCCTAGAGATCTGGCACCAATTCCACTGCCCACTCCGACATGCACTCACTCAGTAATGGTCCCTCCACCCTGACTTGTCCCCTGGTCCTCTCACCAGGCCTCCTGGAGCAGCCTACGAACTGACTACCCCACCCTCACCCCAGCTCAGCTCCACCATCTGCTCAGCCACTACCAGCTGGGTCCTGGGCTCAGGCCACCACCGGCCTGGGACCCTCCCCCAGCAGAGCGAGATGTAGTGGCCACAGGTGAGGAGGAATGGGGGATGCAGGCATTGGGCTGTCAGATTTCTTCTTTTCGCAGCACCTAGGAGTCCATCTTTCCTAATCTCCTTCTGACCCAAAGTTCTGGATCGTGAGCCCTTTCTTATCCCAGAATCTAAATACTGAACCCAGCCCACTTCTTCCCAGGATCTGAGTTCAAGCACTCCATTCCTTCTTGTTTCTCGGGATCCGGGTCTGCAGCCCCTTGCATCTTTGATCCTTAACTCATCTCAAGAGTTCCTTCACCTTCAAAAATCCCTAAGACCAAGTTCTCAGTCCTTCATGCACCCAGGCACGTCGCCGATTCCTGGGCAACTGTAGTTCGCCACAATGTGACAACTCCCGTCATGCTCCGGGACCAGAGTTGCGTTTCAGTGGATTCTGCTCTAGTAGTTTTTTTCTTCCTTGGGGCGTGGCGCAATCGCCTCACACCCATTTTCACGTTAACACCTATCTTCTTCGGTCTCATAGGGGACATCTTCGAAAGCTTCTCCTCTCATCCTCCCCTCATTCTGCCCCTGGGCAGCCCACGCCTGCGCCTCACAGGTCCAGTGACAGACGACGCTCTACACTGTGAGCTGCGCAGGCTCCGTCGCCTGCTTTGGGATCTTGAGCAGCAGGAGCTTCCGGCCAATCACCGCCACGGAGTTCCCGTGACCACGCCTCCCTAAAAAACCAATAGCAAGCGACCGCGCGAACCTTGAAACTTCCTCGGCTCCAAAACTGGAGAGTTGAGCTTTCTGGGAGTTGTAGTTCTTGTCCCGCGCGGGAAGTAGGAGGTTGATTTCGGATAGTAAAGAATAAGACAGTGAGAAGATGGGCTTGGGATGTGAGTGTCAAGGGGCAATAAAAGCATATGTGGTATTATCAGCGTTTCGCTTTATTAAGACTGGGCGTTAGGGATCATTTTCTACGGTGCTAGGCTCTAATCTGGAGTGTTGCGCCCTTGTTGAGCCCAAGGAGGTTATTTATAGCCACGGCCTCAGCTTGCCATCCTGCATGGAATCCAACTCAGGAGCACTGGGGCCTCCCGCACAACTCAGAACACAGCCCTGAGCAAGCTCGGCCAAATATCAGGCCTGTAGTCCTACACTGTTAATCAGCTGACCCTCCCTGCCACCCCCAAACTCCATATCCATTCCTGCCCTTCTCTGACCCAGGCATCTGTCTCCTACCGTCCAAATCTGCATGCCTGCTGGGCACACACCGAATGTCAACACTCCGTACACCATTCCTAGCACTTCCTCTCTCAGACCCATGGTCTAGACCTCTAAACTCTTCCTTTTTAGGCCTGGGGGTCTAGGCTTAGAGTTTGAATTTTCTCTTCCTCTGAACCTGATTCCTGCTGCTGCGTCAGGGAAAAGAGGGTGACAGGTGGCACCTGCTGGCAGGGCTGGGACACGACCACCTGCTGCTGCTCCTCATCCGTGCCCCTCTGCCCGCACCTGCTCCTGTCTGTCCAACTGTGGCTGCCATCCCAACCTACAACCCCAGGAAGCAAGGAGGAGCCAGCCAGGACCCTGTGCCCGCCCCACCCCTTCCCAGGCCCCAGGCAGTATTTCCTTGTCCCCTGCCCTGCTCCCTGCTCCCTGCGTCCCAGAAAGGGGCATCTGAGGCACCCCAGGCATTCGAGGTGGGGCCTGAGGTCTTGGTCTATACTGGAGACTGCCCAACCCAGCAAAGCAGCGCCTATCTCACCTGGTGAGGAGCCCCTGGGTTGGGGGAGGGACCCTGTTACACTTCCATGGCTCTTGGAACCTGGTCCCTTTTATAAGGCCCTGGTGGCTGCCATCCACCCTTCTCACCTTCCTGGACACCGGAACACTTCGATACCCACCCCCACCTCCCAGGTCCCCTTTCTCCTTTCCACTGAGGATCTTGGATTGGTCATCAGACTACTGTGTTGCAGTCCTCAACTTCCAGTCCTTCAAATACAGGCTTTAGGCCTCTTCCCTTCATCCCTTTTCAAAGACCCAGAGGTCAAGGTTCCTGGTGGCCTCAGCAGGAACAGGAGTCCTAGACCCTGGTCTGCCCCATCCAGTACCGGAGAGTTGAGGTCCCCAGTCCTGCATCCTCAGACCCAGTCCCGTCCCTCAGCCTCCTTCTCCATCAGACCTGGGTAGTGGGTCCCCAAGCAGAAGTTTTGACCACAGGTTACATCCATCTCTAATGCTCTGGCCTTTCCTGAGTTACGGTGGCTGCCCAAGACCCTGCTTGCTGTGCAGGGCCCTCCCTTTTCCCCACTCCAGGACCCATTCCAGCCTTGGCAATGACTTTGGCGGCTTCCTCTCAGCGCTCCCAAATCATCCGTTCAAAGTTCCGATCTGGTGAGAGGCCTCTCCTAAGAGTGGGTCGTGGCTGTGGGGTCCTGGGAATGCTCTACTCAGGGTGGCAGAGAGGACCCAGGAAGCTTGTGTTGCCCTTATGAAAGGCCGCTTGTGTATAATGGAGTCCTCAACAAAGGGTTGTGTCTTGGGGGGATAATGGGTGTGCAGTGCAGCACACCCTGGAGCTCCAGAGGAACATGGCTTCAGCTGAGAGGGCTGCAAGGCTGAGGATTGGCATGGAGTGTGGTAAGGGGACAAGGGGCTATCAAAACTTAGATGTGCCAAAAGTTATGCTTTTGAGCCAGGGGTGGTGACCCTTGCTTGTCATCCCAGCACTTGGGAGGCTGAAGCGGGAGGATATCACAAGTTTCAGCCCAATCTGGGCTACATAGTGAGTTCAAGATCAGCCTAGACTACATAGTGAGATCCTGTCTCAAAAAACAAAACAAAACACAGACAAACAAAACAAAAACACCAGTTTTAGGTCCCAGGGTAGGAAAACTGTGTGGGTCAGTTCCTGAGTAGGAAGAGGGCACCTGAGTGGGCAAAGGAATGTGCTTCTGTGGTTCATTGTGCAAAGACACCAGTCACGGAAAGGCCAAGCATGTGTGACAAGGTGCAGGTATGTGGAAAGGAGCAGAAATGTGCAACAGGAGAGCCAAGACTGAGAGCTGGATCCCAAGTGTGCAAATCATGTGGCAGCATGGCTAGCTGACTGCCGGGGTGCAGTGTGTGTGTATTTTCAATGCAAATGCATCGAAAAGTGGGTGTTTGGGGAGTGACTGAGATGTATGTCCAAAGTAGGGTGCCTTGGATGAGGTGTGAAATGGGCCAGGCTGCCGTTTACAGGGTGCCCACAGCTCGGGAAGGGGCAGTAGGCTGGCTCCCAGCTCCTGAGCAGCTCTGGCTTGAGCGCTGCACAGGCAGGGAGCACACAAGTCCCAGGAAGGCAGCTCGCTGCCCACTGCCAAGGCCTATATTGCTACCCACCTGGAGCCAGGCTCCTAAGCACTCCCATGCTACCTTCCTTCTCCTTCCACAGTCCTCCAGCTGCGGATCCACAGACGGAATCGGGACCTGAGTAAGTGTGGGCCCTGACAGGGATCGAGGGCATGGTGGCCCCAGCCCTCTGGGACATGCTAGAGTCTAGCCAGCAGGTCCTTCAGTGGTTCCTGCAGCTCAGTCCCACTGTATGGCATGAGCACATGGAAACCCCATCCTGGCCTTTCTCAGGGACCCAGGAGTCCAGGTCCCCCCACCCCAACCTTAGGAAAGAGGTGCCTCAAGCTCTACTCCAAACATCTGTAAGCCTCAATATACTTCTTGGCAACCAAGAACACAATTCCTGGCTTTTGTTTTATTTTTTGGAGACAGGGTCTCACTATGTAGCCCAGGCTGGCCTGGAATTTGAGGTGATCTTCTTGTCTCAGCCTTCTGAACGCTGGGCTTACAGGTGTGCACCACCATACCTGGCTTCCTGCCTTTCTTGAGAATGTGGAAATCTATGCCTCCACCACCTCTGCCCCCACTGCCCCTGTACACCCAGGGCGAGGGCGCTCCTTTCCCTGTTCCCTGGCAGGCTGGCTGGGTGTCTCCTCTCAGCGCCCTCTGCTGTTTTCCAGCTTCAGATCCGGATCCGTGGATCTCAGCCCCAGGCCCAGCTATGGCCCCAGCCTTGCCCTCTGCCACTCCGACCCCTTTCCTCTTCGGTCCTGGGGTCTTCCTCCCTGAGCTAGAGCACTGCCCGTGCCAGTGTGCGCAGCAGGTAAGTCTGGCTGGAGGGAGTGGTCCTCGTCCCTCTGTAGCCCCAGGCTGACCAGGGATGGCTCCAGGTGGGACTGGGCACGGAAGCAGAGGACAACACACCTGCCTTTTCAGGAGTCACCCAAGGTCTCCTCATGCTGGACAGCACCCAAGCCCCAGGGGACCTTGACCTACCACCAGTACAGGACCCCAGAGCCTGGCCAGGACAGCAGGGCAGAGCCCCCAAGCGGGCCACCTCCATGGGGCGGGACGAACTCACAGCAGCCACCTCCTAGGTATGACTCTCATTTCTGCTCTCTGCAGACCCAGACTTTCTGTTCCCATCATTCTGCCTTAAACTGAGTTCAAGATGGGGAAAGGGAGGTTTACCCACCCCCAAACTCCTCCCCCAGACCTCACTGGACTAGCTCCCAGCTCCTCCTTTCAGACGTCGGTCGGTCCCGTGTGTTGCTCCGTTGGAGATCCTAAAGTTCTCCCTTCCCGCTTTCCTCATCTTTGGGGACCTTGAAGAGCTGCCCCTCTAACCCCTGCCCCCCATACTGTCCCTAGGATGGAACCTACGCTGCTCATACCCTCCCCTCCAGGAGTTCCCGGCCCCTCGAACCCTCCACACAAGTTGGAACTTCAGACCCTTAAACTAGAAGAGCTGACGGTGAGTTTGAGGGCACCTTTCCAGGCTCCTCATTTCCTTGCGTAAGGGCGACGCATTTGGGGAGCGATGGAGGTACTGGGGACTGAATCAAAACTTTCACACCGAGTTATAGTCCCAGCCCTTAAAATTTCTTTTTTTAATTTTTATTTTGAGGCAGTGTTTCACTCAGTGGCTACGCGTTCCAGGCTGGACTCAAACTTGCTTGCTATCCTCCTTTCTCAGCCTCCCAGAGTGCTGTGATTACAGGCTTCTGCCCTGGGCCAAGCTGAGCGGCCCAGACTTCTAACCTTGCAGCCTTTGCCCCCAAAGAAATCCAGGAGTTCGGATCCTCAGTCCCATCCTATGTAGGGCCCCAGGAGACCAGAATCAGTCCCTCTTTGCCAGTTTAAAAATGTCCTAGCCCTGCCGGGCATGTTGGCTCTTGCCTGTAATTCCAGTACTCAGGAGGCTGAGGCAGGAAGGATTGCCACGAGTTGGAGTCCAGCCTGGGCTACACAGCGAGATCCTGTCTCAAAACAAAAACAACAACAAAAATGTCCTGGCCTCGGCTGAGCCCGGAGCAACCCTAGCACCGCCTCCCTCTGTCCCTTCCCAGGTCTCAGAACTCCGGCAGCAGCTACGCCTGAGGGGCCTCCCGGTGTCGGGGACCAAGTCAATGCTTCTGGAGCGCATGCGCGGCGGAGTCCCGCCCCGCGAGCGGTTGAAACAGAGACTTGAAGACAACGCAGGGGACACTCCCTGGCTGCGCCTTAGGCCCAAAGCCCTGGGAATAGCTAGGCGGCAGGGCGGGGTGAGGGCAGGGCTATGCGCCTGTGAACCAATGAAAAGAGGATATAGCGGGATGGGGCGGAAGTCGAAAAACAAATAGCCAATGAGGTGGGGGGGCGTGTTCTCTGCACGATTCAATGTGGGGGGCGTGGTTAAGGCAACAAAAGCCAATGGAAGAATAGGGGGCGAGGCCAAGGGACGAGTTAGTGAATTGCTAGAAAGGACAGAATGGAGCCGCGGATTGCGAGTGGATGGGGTACTTCCCGGTGTCCGTGGTTTATAGGACCTTGTTGGTTTCGCGGTTCTAGGTCAAACCAAATCCCGTGCTTCCCCGACCACCTCTTCCAGAATCCGCAGATGCCCTGGGAGCAGCCCCAGCTCCTGTTTCGACTCGGGTTCCGGCTCCCGTCCTCCCACCCTCGGCACCGGCCTCGGTCCTGACTCTGGAGGAGGAGCTGCAGGAAGCCGTCCGGAGGGCTCAGGTGAGGGTGAGGGCCCCAGCGGAGTCTGAGCTCAGGTCCTGGGCTGGAGCTCGGCGTTCACGCTGTGTCCCTCATCCACAGCTGCTTCCCACCCGGGGTATCGATGACGTCCTGAAGGATCAGGTGGAGCCTGATGGTAGGACCCGATATCCTAGATTTCAGAGGGAACGGGGCTGAGGTGCTGACTTCAGGGTGGGCGGGGAACAGGACTCCCGAAAAGAAGGAATGCGGTTCTAGGAGCCTCGTCCTGATCGCAGTGGCTCACGCCCCTTCCTTCTCCTGCAGACTTGCTGCCCCCCATCCCCCTGGACTTCCCCGGCTCTTTCGATGTCCTTTTCCCGTCCCCGGACTCCGAAGGTCTCTCCTCTGTTTTCTCCTCTTCGCTCCCATCCCTGGTGAAGTCCCCCTCCTCCTCTCCTGGGGACCCCACAGAAGCCTTGGACTGGCTTGAGGCCCTGAGCGAGGATCCTCCTCTGGGGTCTGGCCCCCCGGGCCCCAGCATCTTCTCTGCTGATTTATCTGTCTCCGGTGGCACCCTGGTGTGGGACCTGCGGGAGGATCCCTGGTGATGAATTCTGGGGGGTCCAGGGACTGAAGATTGGTGGAGGTGGAGACCACAGACTAAGATTAAGACAATACCTCGGGTATTGGAGCAACCAACAGAGCTCCTCCTGCGGGCAGACACAGGATCAAAGACAACCCTGTCCCCTCATGTCCCAGAGCTGCTGCTGCCACCCAACCCACTACCTGAACTTTGCCTGCCTGGCCTGCATGTGATCCACCCATCCCCACAGTGTGCAGGTGGGGCAGTGGTTTGAGTGCTGCTGGCCGGGCCAACATGCTGCTTGCTGTTTCCTTTGGAGGCCTCTTGGGTAATTTTATACTCCAACGCCCACCACACACACACACACACACACACACACACACACACACACTCACAGGGATGGCTGCCTGTTGTCTAGGGAATCTGGAGGGTGTTTCTGGATACAGAAGGGCAGGGAAGAGTAAGGAGAACAGAGATGGGGCTGGACTCCTGGGTTCTAGGAGCTGGGACAATAAGTTTCCGGTCTGAGGTCAGATTCTTTTGGAAGCAGATCCTGGACAAGATTCAGGCACCAGTGACTTGCTTCCAGGAGAGAGCAGTAAGGGAGTAAAGAGATGGCAAAGAGGAAGAAGATGAGCCAGAGTGTGCCTTAGGTTGAGTGTTCAGCCCAACCTGATTCCATGAGGCACCAGGAGCTGGGGCTTTGTTTCTCCCTCCCTAGGCTTATGACTGCTGAAGCCATAAACAATAACTAGGGCCACTCACGATTTCTGTGGTTGACTGGGCTCTGCAGGGCAGTTGTGTGGTTCCACATGGTGGTGACGAGAGACACAGAATACTGTGACCCAGCTGGGCTGGGACATGCAGGGTGGCACACCCAGATGTGTTGGGCCCCTTGGCAGGGATGCTGGAACTGCTCTTTCTCCATGGAGTGGCACACTGTCCCTCCATGTGGTCTCTCCAGAAGGATGTCTAGACTTCTGTGATACTGTTACCATGTGGTGAGTGTGTGTGTGTGTGATGGAAATGAGACATGGCCTGATTCTAGAACCTGTTTGCAACTGTCACCATTGTCTACCCTCTTCAGGGCCCTGCGAGAGGAGGCTTTCTCCACCTGTTTCCAGGGTGTTACCTTCTGGCCGAAGGTTCTTGTTCAGTGTATACAGAAACCAAGAATTGACAGAGTGCAGTTCTTTTGGTGTTCACAGCTCTGGGCTTTGAATGCCACTGGCTGTCAGCTCTGTCAGTGTCAGGGCTCCCTTTGGAGCAAGCAGCTACAATGGGCTGTGGGAACTTCTGGAATTGGCAGCTCCCAGCAATCCTTCATTACTCTGTGACTGTCTGGCATCCTCAACATTACTAGTTCTGTTTACTCTTAGTCCAAATGCCCTTGGAGTTACCAGCTTAGCAGAGGCTACTCAAGACAAACCACACTGTCCAGAAGAGCTTTATTAGAACCCATGCTGCATAGGGGCAGAGCCAAATTGACTCAGGGCAGGTTGCTTAGATAGGGCAGGGATGGCAGGGTTCTCACAGACCTGATTAATGAGGAGAATTCAAGAGGAGAGTCATCTGTGACAGGTCCCTGACAGAGAGCTGCCGCCACCAAAGCAGCTATCTCCAGCTGGGCCTGGTGGCACATGCTTGCCATCTCAGCACTCTGGAGGCTGAGGCAGGAGGACTAACATAAGTTTGAGAATAGCCTGGGGTATATAATGAGTTCCAGGCCAGCCCAAGCTGCATAGTGAGACCCTGGCTCCTAAAGACAAAACCAAACCATATCTCTCCAAGTGTCTATGGGACACTTGATGCAACCATGGCCAGGCTGCAAGAACAGCCACAGAATATTAGTTTCTTCTGGGGGAACATCAGACCTCTTTCCCGTCTCAGGGCTCATAAGAGCAGGCATTCCCAAGGTAGGGAGCAGAAGGTGCCAGTGCCTCAGTGACTGCGTTTGGGCCTGCCCCAGTTATACATCTGCTGCTCTCATATTTGGGCATAACAGGGTGTGACCATCGGGGAGGAAGAATTGAAATGCCCAAGCACTTCCAGCCAAGGGTGGCCTGGGCAGAAGGTCATAGAGCTAGCCCATTAGCAGCAATGGCTTTTTTGTTTTGTTTTTGTTTTTTGAGACAGGGTCTTGCTGTGTAGACCAGGCTGCCTCAGTGATCCTCCTGTCTCAGCCTTCTGAGTGCTAGAGTGCTAGGGAAGGAGGCACAGCCTGGGACCCCAGGCAAAGGCAATCTCAGTGTCTTCTGAGCTGGCTGGGCAGGACTTATTATTTTCTTTCCAGAGATCACAGGAGGTGAGAGGAAGGGATAGACATGCCCAGGACACATGTAGGACCTTAGTGATCTCAGGTTCCACATCGTGGCCCCTCAGAGTGCAGGGAACAACGAACCTCTGTTCTGCTGGGGCTCAAAGATTTGCCACGAGAACCTCTGTTCAGAATGGTGTTTTGTTTACTTTTGGTTTTGGCCTTTGCACTGAGCTACATCCCTAAGCCTTTTTACAATTTTTTTTTTATTACTTTGAGACAGGGTCTCCCCAGACACTAAGTTGCTCAGGCTGGGCTCAAACCTGTGATCCTCTGCCTCAGCCTCCCAGAGTGCTGGGATCAAAGACATGTGCCACAACACTCAGCCAGAAAGCTGTTGATGGCAGTGGTGCAGGAGACTGCAGGACTGTGGCTCTTAGAGAAGACACAGCCCTGAAGGAAGGAGCAGGGGGTCAGAGACAGTGTTTTGCTGAGTCAGGGATGAGGAAGCAGCCAGAAGAGCCTTCTGGGAGCAGTGTCCTCTGATGGAAGGGAGTCGCAGAGGCCAGAGCTGCGGAGGACACCAGGCACGGGGGAAGCTGATGGACAAAGGGTGGTGGGTGGCTGTGACAGACTGGGTGGAGACTTGGAAGGCGCAGAACCCCTCATGTCAGGCTGAGTGGGTGAGGGGCACGGACAGCACCAGAAGGATCGGGCAGGGGTGAGGTTGGCTTCCTCTGCCTCCGATTCTGTCAAGACTTTACTGCTGTATCACTTCCTTAGCAGTCTCTCTCCACCTCTGCCTCAGAGCTGAGCCCAGCCAAGCCCCCAGCCCCTGCTCTTGTATTTCATGTCCCCTTCCCTTTTTCTCTCTGAGCATGAGGGTGACCCCTTCCCAGCTTCCTTCTCCAACATCCTGAGGCTGGAAAAGTCTTACCTGAGGGACAAATGGCACACACTTGTCATCCCAGCACTGAGGGAGACCAAGGCAAGAGGATCCTTCTTGGATAACTGAGCAAGGCCCTGTCTCCCAAACTAAAAAAGGCCTGGGGGTGTAGCTTAATGCCAAGGCCTTGAGTCCAATCCCTGGTACCCGCCCCCCCCAAATGTCTCACCCCGGGGCAAAGTTGAGCAGGCACATCTGTCTGTCTCTCCCTGTCCCTGATGTGTGCGGGCCTAGGGTGAGCTAGGTCTCTCGGGCCTCATTTTCTTCATCTGGAAAACAGAAGCACAGTGGCACCTCCTTGTGAGGTCCCTCAAGGAACAGCATGTCAGTCAGGGTCAAGCCTGGCATGCAGGCAGTGCTACTTGGGTGCCTACGATTGTCACTGATCTACAGGGGCTGTGTCTTAGTTACTTTTTACTCGTTGCTGAGACAAAAATACCTGAAGCCCAAGTTGGGAAAGGAAAGATTTATTTCTTACAGTTTTTGAAGCTTTCAGTCCACACTCAGTTGGCTCCAAGGCAGGCGGACATGGCTGGGCTGCAATTCATGGAGGCTGCAAATAGCAAGCAGGAACCAGCAAAGAGCAAAACACGCCTTCTTCCTGCCACTACATCACGTCCTGGCTCCACCCCTAGGTGGGTGTAGCACTGACACCATCAATCCAAGCACTAAACAATGAACCAATCACAAATGCACAATGCAAACTCATGAGGCCTGGGGCCACCGACATAAACCATGACAAGCTGCTTGGCTCCTGCCCGTGGGTTTTGCCCCCTTTCGTGGCCCGGTCTTCTCAGTCTCCTTCACCAGGAACTCACCTATGCTTCTCTAATCTCCCTTTCCCTTCACAGGGGATCCCCAGCCCCAGGGGCTGAAAGCCAGGACAGGAGGGGAGAGGTGACTGAACTCTTGGGAGCAGAAAGGAGTGGGACCCCCAGAGAGCCAGCCTCTCTCCTCCTCTTGGGCTGGAGAATTCATCTTCTGACCTTGGGCCCCTCCAGGCTGGGGGTCCCCACAAATCACTTCTCCTTGAATCCATGGCAGACCTCCTTTCTGGGTTTTTTTCCTTAAGGAAATGAAAACATATGCCTACACAAAGATATGTGCACTTATCCAGGTGTGGTGGCCCATGCCTGTAATTCCAGGATCCTGGGAGGCTGAGGTAGGAGGATCTCAAATTCTGGCTCAGCCTGTGCAATTGAGTGAGAACTTATCTCAGAAAGCAAAATAAAACTGAGAGGGTTTTGGCCCAGATAGAACACTGTAGCCAGGAAAGCCACAACCAGAAGCAGGAAGCCCCAATCTCCCCTGCCCCTAGGAAGTTACCTGTGACGCCATCTTCCCGCCCCTGGAAATTTACATATGGTGCCAAACCTAGGACCAATGGGTTACCTGTGCATCCCTAATGCCCGCCTTAGGTTCCACCCCAAACCGAGGCTATTTACATGCCCCCATGCCACATGTCGCGGGAGAGATCACGGGATGCCAGCGGTGGGGGTGCTGGTCATCTCTCTCCGTATTCTCAGAATAAAGGCCCCTTTTTATTTTATACTTCTCATCTTTTGGAAATAATCCTAGCAAAAACAAAGCAAACAAAAACTTCTACAGAAATGCTGATAACCTCATTCATGATAGCCCCAAATGGGGACACTGGTGAACATTCAAATGGATGAGTTACTCAGTGGTAGATGATACCAACAGGGTACTATACAGTAATGAAAAAGGAACAAACAACAGATATATGCAAGAACATGGGTGAATCTCAGGAACATGAGGCTATATGAAAGAAGCCAAACAGGAGGCTAAAACATGGAATAATTCTTTACATAAAGTTCTAGAAAAGACCAAATCAAAGTGACAAAAAGCAGATCCATAGTCTGGGAATTAGGAGAGTTGCTGGCAAGCAGCACAGCAATGCTTTAGGGTGTGACAGAGCCCTCTGTATCTCAGTCCTGGTGCTGGTTCCATAACTATATAATTATCAAGACCTGGGCAGGGGATATAGGTCAGTGACCCACAGCCTGCCTGGCAAGTGCACAGTTCTGAGTTCGGTTCCAGGTACCAAAAATAAAAAAATAAAAGTTAAAGATTACTAAAACTCACAGTGGACACTGACACAGGTGATTGTTTTCTTCACAGCAGTTGTGAGATATAATTTACAAAACCAACAAGCCACCCTGTGTTCTCACAGACTTGCTCAGCTAATTGCCACAGTAAGTATGGGAATAATCATCACCCCAAAATGAAACCATTGTACTTTTCTGCTCTAGGGAGGTATCCATTTTTTGTCTCTATGGATTTATCTGTTCTGGAAGGTTTTTTTGTGTGTGGTTCTGGGGATCAACCCAAGGCCTTAGGCATGCAAGGCAAGAGCTCTACCGAGACACATCCCCAGCCCTTCAGGAGGTTTTCTACATGTGAAATCTTGCAATATGTTAATACAGGAATGTGCCTGACATCCTTGAAATAAATCAGGTATATTCCAGGCGTGGTGGCACACACCTGTGATCCCAGCACTGGGGGGCTGAGGTAGGACGATTGCCATAACTTTGAGACCACCCTGGACTATATAATGAGTTCAAGGCCAGACTGAATTACTTAGCGAGACCTTGTCTCAAAAAAACAAAACCGAAGACAAACAGGTAGTATGTAGCTTGGATGAAACTCATTTTTGTTCTTGATCATCAAGTAAACTCCTTCTCTGCTGTAATTATGAGGATTACTGCTTGTTTTAAGGTAACCTAAGAGTAGGCCCTTGTAAACAAGCAGTAGAGTCTCAGCCAATCATAGCACCTGAAACTCCAGCCAATCAGAGGCTGAAAACTACCCAAACCCGCCTATATAAGGCGAACAGACTCCCCCAGCCAATCAGGTTGCATTTGAACATCACTTCCTTTTCTCTGCTTACGCATACCAGTTGCACATGTAGCAGCTTAGTACTGGGAACTGTTTTGGTTATGGAATGCCACCCCAGTCTAGAATGTTTTTCCTGGTCAAGCAAACTTTGTTAAATTTAACTGATCTCGATTTTTCTTTTCCTGTGGAACCAAGGATGGAACCCCGGACCTCGTCCATTGAGCCACAGCCCAGTGCCAGCTTTTAACAGAAAGTGTCCCCTGAGAGCCCAGGGGCTTCCCTGCCCCACTGCCTTCTCTGGGAGCCAGTTCGGACTCCGTGCCAGATCCATCCTATGCCACCCCTCCCGGGAGACAGCCCTGTGGCAGGTGCTGACTCCCACCAAAGCCGTCAGGGTCTCTTCCGGTGGTGCAGCTGTGGCAGTGACAGTGAGGGCTCTGTCGGCTCCTGGAATGAGGCTGAGCTCACCACCACTGCCCGCCTGTTCACTGCCACTGCTGGCTGGGAATATACACAAGCTGCCCCCTTGCTGCCGCTTTGTCCCTATATCCTGTGCTCCTGGTAGCCGGATGTGTTCACACAGCAGCTCACAGCACAGTACACCCCCTCTGCTGGACTGCTTTCTGCTACACAATAGGCGTGCGCCGCATATACATATGGGAAGGCTAGAGAATATAAAAATGCATGTATATTTGAGACAGGGTCTCATGGTGTAGGTTAGGCTGGCCTTGAACTCACTGTATAACTGCAGCTGGTCTCAAACTCCTAGTGATACTTCTGCCTCAGCCTCCTGAGTGCTAGGGTAACAGGTGTACGCCACCATGCCCAGCTGGTGCTGTGGTTTTAGTATGATTTTAGGACATTTCCCAGGGGTTGTGTGTTGGTAGCTTGGTGTCAGTGTAGGGCTGAAAAATGTTGGGATCCTTGAGAACTGGAGCCTTATGGGAGGTCTGTGGGTCAAAGGAAGCACTGGTCTCAGAAGGATAAGCGTGACTCCTGGGGAACCCCCAGTTCTTGAAAGAAGGTCCAACAGGAAGAGCAGGCCAGGCCCTGCCTGTGCATATGATCACTGAGTCTCCCATGTACTCCTGTCATTGTGTTGCCACAAGTCTTTGAAGACTTTTATAATTAGCCAGCCTCGGGGACTGCATCCTAGTAATGAAAAGTGGAGGAATATAGACGTTTTTCCCATTCATCAAAAGGATTCATGATAAGAATGAGGTTTAAAAAAAAAAAAAGTTTGCTGCCTCTGAAACATGTTGCCTGCATGGAACATCTGGATCCGTGGCAGCCCATTTGGGACCATGAGGCAACAACAGAGCTAAGAGGAGACAACAGTGGCACAGCAAGAAGATGGGTGGTACATGTTTAAATACCGCATTGATTCTTTGGCATGAGAAACCAAAAGTGTAAATAAGGACCAAAGTGCATAATAGATACTGGGAAATAGGAAGAAAATGCTCAAATGGGAAGGAGAACAAGGGAGGGGGAGGGAGAAAGGAAAGAAGACACAAGAAAAAAAAGAATAGGGAAAATGGAAATAGCTTTTGTAACTGAGCAATAGAGTTGAGAGAGGGGAGGGGAATGGGGGGAAAGAAAGAAGCAAGATATATCGTGTACAGAGCAAGCTGATGATGACTGTGATCATTATCTAAAATGCATCAATAAAATAAAAAACCACTGCCCTCTTGTTCACTGCCACTGCCGGCTGGGAATATACACAAGCTGCCCCCTTGCTGCCGCTTTGTCCCTATACCCCGTGCTCCCGGTAGCCGGATGTGTTCACACAGCAACTCAGCACAGCACACCCGAGGAGGCTGCTGAGCTGCCGCTAACTATGGCGGGAGCCGGGACTCTCGGCCTGGTCGTCCAGGCGTGAGAACACATGGTTAGCCTGCATTGGTTGGACTTGTCTTCCTTGAGCCCAGGACGTCCTCTTGCAAGGGAAAAGGGCTCTTTTTCCCATAACCGTGGGCTCCAGGTCTGCAAAGAGGCAGACAAGGCCAGATAACTGTCAGTGCTTGAGCAATGGGGACAGGTCGGCAGCGATGCCCACCCACTCAGGCAGGAAGGCCGCCTCGGGCTTGAAGAGCTTGAGGAAGGGGGAGTCAGGCAGCGTGTAGTTGGCCAGGTAGACGGTGTCTCCACCTGCGAGGTAGGCGGCCCAGATCCCAAAGGTCCCGATGGTCATGACCGTGTGGTTGCACTGCGTGAGCAGAGCAAAGTCCCTGCCCGGCGAGCCCTCCAAGCCATTGCCCGCGAACACCACGTCCCCGCGAGAAGTGTCCATGTTTTCCCGGCACCAGGCCATCCCGTTGCTGGTGACCACAAAGACCGGCGCTGGGTAGCGCGCGCGGAACCAGTCCAGGGCCTGCTGCAGGTAGCCGCGATCGGCCACCACCCCCTTCCACACGCGGGGCATGACGTGCACGTAGTCGCCACGCCGCACGTGCACGCCCACGAAGGTGCGGGGCCGCGAGCCCTGCACGCGCAGCTCCCCCAGGAAGGCCTGGGCCTGGCGGCGCACGTGCTCGTGCAGGCTGAACTCACGCAGGATCTCGGGCCGCAGGTGGTGGTAGAAGGTCCAGGAGCAGGGGTAGCCGGTGAGGCGCACGTAGCGGTCCTGGATGTGGCGGTAGCGCTCCTGCATCCAGTCGTCCAGGTGGTAGTTGCGCCACGTGATGCTGTGGGCTGTGGCACTGTGCAGCACTGGGAGGCTGATGCGGAAGAGTGGGGCCAGCGTGCTGTTCATGTGCTCGGGGATGAAGGCCGGCCGCCCGTTGGCCTTGGCCAGTGCATACAGCGTGGCGTACTGGCCCATCTGGTTCCCTAGGCGGCCGATGGCATTGATCGTCCACATGCCATCCAGCTGCGGCGTCGTGGGCCTTTTGCTGCCTGATGGTGGCACCTGTGGGGACAGGGACACCTCTGGGGACTGTGGCACCTGTGGAGATGGTGATGCTGTTAGTAGCTTCAGATTCTGCTGCTTCCTGTTTTCTGTCTGCACAAGTCGCTGGTGGAGGTGGAAGACGGTGGAAGCGATGAAGACGAAGAGGATGAAGTGCCCCATGGGGAAGGAGAAGGAGCCCTGGGCACTCGCCATGGCTGTTGGGAGGAAGGCGGGGCGTCAGCTGCGGGTGCCACGTAGGGGAGGGGTGCGTGACCATGGCCGCCTGCCGTGTGCACCATCGCTGGGTGGGTGCGTGTGAGTGTGAGTGTGGGTTTGCTCTGTGCTCTGTGTTTGTAGTTGGTGCGCCCATGAGCGTGAGCAGATGTTTCTAGAGCCTCTCTCTTTGTACTGGGGATCGAACCCAGGATCTTCACACTGAGCCACATCTCAGCCCTTTTTTATTTTGAGACAGGATATTGCTGAGTCACTACATTGCCCATGCTGGGCTGGAAATGACCTTTGCTTTTTTTCTTTTTCATCCCGGGAATCAAACTCTAAACCTTGCGCTTGCTAGGTAGATACTGTGCCATTGAGCTATATCCCCGGCTTTTTTCTTTTCTTTTCTTTCCCTTTTTCTTTCTTTCGCTTTCTCTTCCTTCTTTCTTTCCTTCCTCTCTTTCTTTTTGAGGCAGGTCTCACTATGCAGCTCAGGCTGGCCTTGAATTCATGGCAATCCTTCTGTCTCAGTTTCCTGAGTACTGGGATTATACAAGTGTGCCATTATGCCGGGCTGGAGTGTGTGTTTATGCAGGTGTGTGTAGATGTTGTTTTTGTATGACATTTCTATGAAGGAGGTTGTGTATACGTTGTGCGTGTGTGTAAACATGCTGTGTATTTATGGTGAAATTGCGTGCATAGGAGTGGCCGTGTACACTGTAGCATATGGGTGTGCATCTATTGTGTAGATATGTGGGTGTCTAGTGTGTAGGTGGTTGTGAATAAGGCACATGTATATATGAGTATGTGTATATTTGAGTGCAAATACTCCTACATTTTTGATGGGTCATATTCTAATAATAAATCCACTGTAATTGAAAGTATCATAAATCAAAAATGTATTTAGCCAGGTATAGTAATTAATATCATTAATCTCGGTTAATTGGGAGGTTGAAGCAGGAAGATTGCAAATTTGAGTCCAGTCTGGGCAACTTAGTGACCTAGTAAAACCTTGTCTCAGAATAAAAATACACAAAAGTGATGCTGGGTATGGTGGAGTGAGCCTGTAATCCCACCCAGCATTTGGGAGGCTGAGGCAGGAGGATCACTATGAGTTCTAGGTCATCCTGGGCTACACAGTGAGTTCAAGCCCAACTAGCAAGACCCTGTCTGAAAAAGAACCCACCTCCTCCCCAAATATATATATATTCAGGGGTTGAGGATGTAGCTGCATGTGAAAGGCCTGGATTCAACTCCTGGTATTGAATAAAAAGGTATGTTTGTGAGTGTGTATAGAGCAGTGTGCATGCCTGTGCCTGCCATTCACTGAGGACCAGCATTCCAGATATGTCTGCATGCACATGCCCAGCTCTAGCCCCTCTGGAAGGAAGCATTCTGGCTGTCACAGACTCAGCCACCTAATCCATCTCCCTCCTGTCACAGCCAGGTGAACTCGAGATGGCTCCTGGTGGCCTCCTCATTCACTGGCCATGCCCCGCACAATGGTCAGCTGGCTTTAAAAGGTGACACAAGAAAACTTCAGTCTCAGCCAAGACAAGCCCAGCCACTGCCTTCTCTTTGTGTATGGATGTTTGTTCTCTGCAACTCTGCTCCAACTGAAAGTAGGGTCAGGAATGGCAGAACAGACAAGGGAACTCCTGCTGGTGTCCCTGGAGGCAGAGGATAGTGAGACTTTCCCGCCTGGGGCATAAAACCCCAACCAGCATCTAAGAAGTTGTCACGCTGGGATCCCCTGGGGGGAATCAGAGGCCGAAAGGCTGCGGATCCAGATGCCCCTGTTGGGCCAGGGCAGAGCCACTGTAAGGGAGAGAAAGCAGGGTAGGAATGGGTTCTGACCCCAGGGTGTTCCCAGAGGCCAGGAGGCTGTGGCACAGTGACTATACCTTCGCTGTTATTGCTGGTGTTGCTGGGGTGTTGGAAGTGACTGGTGAGCCTGGTCTTCAGCAGTCTGGGCTGGACCGCACCTGGCCACTGCCACAATCCAGTCCAGATCTGGCCCCCACTTAGTACAGCTCAGGCCCTGAGGGACAGGAATGAGGGAATCTTAAAAAGGGTGAGGCAGTAGCTCAGTGCAAAGGTCCTGCGTTTTATCCCCATTTCTGCAAAAGAAAAGATGAATATAGCATCTATAGGAATCACATTCCTGCTTCTGACTTACAAATCACCCAAAACTTCAGATCCCATTAGGACCACATAAATGTTAGCAGAAGAAATTCAGCTTTGTCAGTTAGTTGTCTGTATTTGCTTGTTTGATTGTTTGTTTTGTAGCACTGGAGACTGAACCCAGCACTTTCACACTTGACTACATCCCCAGTGCTTTATTTTTATTTTATTTTATTTTTTTGTTTTGAGACAGTGTATTAAGCCACCAAGTAGCCTAGGCTGAGGTCAAACTTGCACTGTTTCTGCCTCAGCCTCCAGCAAGCTGTGGTGTTGTTTTTTTTTTTTTTTTTTTTTTTTTTTTTTTTTTTTTTTTTTTTGGAGACAGGTTCTCCCTATGCAGTTCAGGCAGGCCTTGAGCTCACTTTGTAGCCCAGGCTGGTCTTGAACCTGCAAGGAAACTCCTGCCTCAGCCTTTTCAGGCGTGAGCCACTATGCTGGCAGGCTGGTTGGTGTTATTAACTCCAAGTGCTGTCACCTGCAGGCTCTGGGTCAAGGTCCAGTTTCCATGCTCTGATTGGGGTACACTGATGGTGGTCAGCCTTAGCAGGGCATACGTGTGGCAGGAATCATATGGAAAGGGATGGAAGCATGCAGAGGAACTTGCTCGTGGAGTGGTGAGGAGTTCTGAAATCAACTATGGCAGCTGCACCCAGCTGTGGTGGAAGGTGCCTTCATCTCCCTCTGGTTAGAGGGTGAATATGTCAGTGATTCTACCTGCTTTTCTTTCCTTCTCTTTGTGGAGCTGAAGGACTCAGACAGAGCAAGCAATGGTCATCAAGGAGTGGACTGTAGGAACCAGGTACCATTTGCTGCCCAACCCATAGTCCATTACAGCCTGTGATCCGCTGGACTGTGGCCCTCCAAAACAAGGTGTGTTGAAGTCCTAATCCTTGTGTCTTCAGAACTTGGCCTTATTTGGAAACAGTGTCTTCATGGATGTGTCCAGTTAAAAATAAGGCTGTGCAGAAGGCCCTAGCTACACTAGAAAACATTGATGCACAGCCTGTGAGGTGTGGCCTGAGGTGGCCTGGCGTCCGCACTGTGAGTGAATGGAACCGAGCAGACTGTCTTGGGAGGCACATGGGACACCCAGGACCACAGGAATGTTGCTGGAAAATGAAAGATGGAGGAAAGGAAGGGTGGAAAGGTAGAAGGAAGGCAGGAAGGGAAAGGGAACAGAGTCAGAATGAGGGAGGAGAGACTGAGGGAGGGGATAGAAAGGCAGGGAGAGAGAGAGGAAGCAGACAGGATGGGTTTGTCTCTACTGCCCCACCTTAGCCCCTATGTCCCCACTCTAGATCCCTCTCCCTAGAGTCAGTCTCTTTGGGTCATTATTTGTTTAGAGCAAAAACTTGCTATGTAGTCCAGGCTGGCCTCGAACTCACAGCAATACTCCTGCCTCAGCCTCCCAAGTGTTCTCTATTCTTTTGCTCACTGTCTCAATGCCTCAGAGAAGTCAGGTTCTTTCTCCCCACTTTTCCTCCCACCAGAGGCTTTGCACTGAGCTGCCCCTCCAGCCCCTCTCTTGTTTTTATTTTTAAAACAGAGTCCCACAAGTTGCTAAGTTGCCCAGGTTTTGTAGAATCTTTACAGAGTATGGTGACTGAAAGGTTTGGCCCAGACAGGACACTGTAGCCAGGAAAGCCACAACCGGAAGCAGGAAGCCCCATCTTGCCCTGCCCCTAGGAAGTTACCTGTGACGCCATCTTCCCGCCCCTGGGAATTTACATATGGCGCCAAACCTAGGACCAATGGGCTACCTGTGTATCCCTAATGCCCGCCTTAGGTTCCACCCCAAACCGAGGCTATTTACAGGCCCCCACGCTGCGTGTCCGCCGGAGAGATCGCCGGACGCCAGCGGTGGGGTGCCGGTCATCTCTCTCCGTGTTCTCAGAATAAAGGCCACTTTATATTTTATATTTCTCATCTTTTGTTAATATTTTTCATCTTTTGGAAATAACTCTATCATTTGGTACCGTGACTCTATCGGCAGGCAACTGACTGTTGGGCCACATACCCAAAGTCTTCTAGCCGATAACCAGATAACATCCTGGATTAATCCCAAGCTTTTTCCTCTCCCGAGACGTTCCTGTCGCCAGCCGCCTGCACTCCGCATCGGCCAGACTGATTTCAGGTGAGCACTCCCCGGGGAACTTTTCGCACTGGGCAGCCCCAGTGGAATGTTCTCCCCGTCTGCGTGGGTCTGTGCATTTTCACGTCCTTAGGACCGCCCAGGGCAGGGTTCTTTCTGGGCAAACCTGCGCCCACAAAATCTCTCACGTTCTTTGGGTTCGGATAGCCCAAAGCAGAGATTTTTGGGACCGCCCACACTGAAAGAATGCCTCACTTCCCTTAAAGCCTTGCGCTTTCACGGGCAAAACTGTTACTGACCCCACGTAGACTCCATTCGTAAATCTCTCAGTGACGACTGGAGTTTACGGTTTGGAACCGTAGCCGCCGCGTGGTACCGCAAATAAGTGACGACTTTTTTCTGGACCTCCGGTTTTTTTTTTCTTGCCTGAATCAGTCATGGGGAACGTGTTTTCTAACTCCCGAAAGACGCCTTTACAATGCCTAATTTCCAATTTACGTACTCTAAAAATTAAAGGTACCATAAAAACTAAACAACTAACTTTTTACTGCCAGGAGGTCTGGCCAACCTACCCGCTTATTGGCAAGCCTTGGCCCAAAAAAGGAACATTTGACCCCTGCATTCTCAGGAACTTGTACGATTTTTGTCAAGCTGGCAACAAGTTATTGGAACTCCCTTATGTCCAAGCCTTTCTTATTCTGAGAACACGCCCATCTCTCATTAAGTCTTGTGCTCCCGCTGAGATACTTTTAGCTAAGTCTACTGCGCCGCAAACTTTTCCACCCTGCCCTCAGGATTCGCTTGAGGACGTTCCTCCGGTGTTTTCCCGGCCGCCGCCTGCCTACCACCAAACTCGTTCCCTGCCGTTACCTCCCGCCGGGCCACTCTCCCCTCCCTCTATGCCTGATTCTCCCAGCAGCTCTAATCCCTCTCCGTTGCAGATACCTCCCGCCGTGCGATCGTCTCCCTCTCTGCCTTCCGGGACCCATAACTCTCCCAGCAGCTTTAATCCCTCTGTTAGCGCTTCCTCGCAGTCTCCAACTTCCTCTCCTGAGAATTCTGTATCCCCTACAGCATTCTCACTGCCTGCCCACCATACTAGGTCTCGGTCGCTATGTCCTTCCAGCAGGTTGCGTGATTGTTTCAGCTTGCGCGGGGAACAGTCGCCATGTTGCAACCCTCTGCCACGTGGCATGGCGCCGCCATGTTCCGGAGGGCCACATGGCAACAGGGCGCCGCCATGTTTCGGGCCACGTGACAGGGCGCCGCCATGTTCCCAGGACCCTCACTGTCAACAGGCGTCTCCTTGTGGCTCCTCTTGTGGACTACAACAGCCGCCCTGTTGCAGTGCACATGACGCTTCATTGTGCTGCCGACAGCAGTCCTCTAGCTGCGAGGCACACAGTGAGACGCCATCTGCTCGTGTTTCCCAGGGTGACCGGCAGCAGCTCTGTAGCCGCTCTACAGATGATTGCTCACATGCGCCTACCGGAAGGATGGCTGCTCAGTGGCCCTCTGCTCCGGAATCTCCTCAGGCTCTGCTACCGCTTCGGGAGCAAGCTGGCCCCGAGGGACTTGTTAACATCCATGTGCCTTTTTCCCTTTCTGATCTATCCCAGACTGTCCATAAATTAGGTAGCTTTTCTGTTGACCCACAGAATTATATCAGGCAATTTGAATTCATTACTAATTGTTATGATTTACATTTTAAGGACGTTTATAATGACTCTGGGCCTATATCTGTGCCAGAGCAGGACAAGCATACTAACTATAACAAACTTTTAAAACAGGTCCAGGAGGCTAATCAAAACCCAGCTGTGTTCCTAAATTGGCTTTCTAATCCTCGCGCCCTTCGAGCAGTTCCAGCTTTGTGCACTGTGTCGGGCCGCCTCCCAGCCCCTCCCCCATGCGCCGTCCCAGCCCCTCCCTCCCCTGTGTGTCGCTGTCGCCGCCGCTGCCACCTTACACGTTTCCGGGGGCAGTCCGAGCCCGCCCCTGCGCGCTACATCCCAGCGCTTGCCCCACCCACTGGGTGTGCTCTGCTGGAGCGCCGCGAAACAGCAGCTCAGCGGCTCTGCTCAGGCATGCTTTTTTTTTACAATTTGGCTCCGCTCAAAAGATGCTTTTTTATTACAATTCTCAAACCATTTAATCAAGGTTTTTGGCCACCTGATAATTTTACCAGCCTTGTTTATCAATCAAAGCCTTCACCAATCTCCTGTTTAACAACTAAGGTTATAAATTCCTTTTTGCTGGGAACCACTAGCTCTATTTCAAGACAAGGGTTTTCTTCAAAGTTTTATTTTATTTGTCTTGGTTCATACTACTGCAAATAACAACTTTAAAAGTAAATGTGTTCAGAATTTAACAGTATTAGATCAGTTTTGATTGATTTATTCATAAGATTGCTAAACCTTTACTGCAAAATGTTTCCATTAAAGCCTTGTTTGGTAGACTAAAGCTTTGTTAATTCTACGTGTCACCCTAAAAAAAAAAGCGATATGCCATCCAGATAAAGCCTGCTCTCTAATCCAAAATGCCAATATTAAATTCCTGCATGCTTACTTAATTCTACTATAGTCCAAATCCCAAACAAAAAGGCAAAACTTGACCTTCAAACCTTAGAGAGATCTTAATATGGTTTTTCATATTTTTAACACTTGTGACACTTGGAGTTCTGAGACAGGTAAACCTACACAAGGTGGAGCTGCCTGGCCTCCCCATGGACCACGCTCAAATGCAGCAGAAGACATTGGGCACCAAAATGCCCCTTCCTGGCATTTTTTGAGACCTTACTCCAGGGCTACTGGACTGTCCTAGCCACCAGAGAGTGGGTAAGTCATCCTAAGTAATAGCCCTCACAGGAAATGTCGACACTGCGATTTGTCACCGACAGAAAATTGCTGCTGAAGACTGAGGAAGTTCAGGGCAACAACAGCCCCCTTTAAGGTGTCCGTCTCAGATTCCAAGTCGCACTAAAGTCTCAGGTAAGACATTCTCTATATTTGTGGACATAGAGGCCATATATACAGAGGTCTTCCTGAGTATTCAGGCTGCTATATTAAGTCCTCAATCTCTGGGGGTATTGATGGTCAACCTATGCCATTTACAAACAGGGCCTATTTTGTGCAGGTCCCAGTCTTCTCACTTGGTTTATACTTTTTCAGGATACATAAAAGCCTTTCTCATACTTGCTAAAGTTCTGTTACAGCAAATCATTCCAAGGACTACAACCAGGTTACAGTGACCCATGCCTAAATCAAAGTTGCTAGACTGCCATCCTGATTCCACATCACTCAGGCTAAGAGATGCCCTCCCAGCCCTAAATCTGATCATTCTGAGTGGTCATCTCATCTTCTGTCGCCTACCCGTCTCCGTCTCACAAAGGCCACGCAGCCACAGTTAACAGGCTAAGTCATGTTTTGTTATCCACTTTGGTTCCTAATTTCTTACATTCTATTAATGATCATTTTTACAGCAGGACTCTTTAACAGTATTGCCTACAGACTCCAACATCATGCATACCAGAGACAAGCCTCACCAACCTACCGTCTTAACTTTTATGCTTTCAGATGGGGGAGTAATCACCCCTCATAACTCCACTCCTCCTAACCCCACGTTTAATTTTCAGAATTCTGCCTCACCGTGGAAATGTTTCTACCTCAACATGGTCCTGATAGAATGATATGTCTAAATCAAAGGCACCTTTCCCTCTACCTCACCTGGGTCCTTAAATATGACAGTGCCATGTCTCCTCATAACATTTTGTCTCTTTGTTTTTCCAGTCTGACATACGTGCATTCACCAGTGAAGTTGTCCTGGCTAAAACACCTGGCAGCAGCGTCTACCTGGGCATCAACCTTCATCCCGTCGACTCCCCTAGGCTCCAGTACAGCGCCCTTTGCCAGCAGGAAGTAGTTAAAGAGAGAAATCTTCGCCCCTTTTCATAATAATAACCATAAGACGGGATATGAAAGGTTTGGCCCAGACAGGACACTGTAGCCAGGAAAGCCACAACCAGAAGCAGGAAGCCCCATCTTGCCCTGCCCTTAGGAAGTTACCTGTGACGCCATCTTCCCGCCCCTGGGAATTTACATATGGCGCCAAACCTAGGACCAATGGGCTACCTGTGTATCCCTAATGCCCGCCTTAGGTTCCACCCCAAACCGAGGCTATTTACAGGCCCCCACGCTGCGTGTCCGCCGGAGAGATCGCCGGACGCCAGCGGTGGGGTGCCGGTCATCTCTCTCCGTGTTCTCAGAATAAAGGCCACTTTTTATTTTATATTTCTCATCTTTTGTTAATATTTTTCATCTTTTGGAAATAACTCTATCAGTGACAAAGTTTTAAAAACAAAATACAGCTGGGCATGATGGCACACGTCCGTAATCCCAACACTTGGGAGGCTGAGGCAGGAGGATCACTAGAAGTTTGAGGTCAGACTGAATTAAAAAACAAGACCCTGACCCAAAAAAATGAAGCAAAACAAGAAAGCATTTTTTTCCATTGGTACTGGGGATTGAACTCTCGATCTTGCACTTATGCCATTGAGCTAAATCCCTAGTCCCCCCCAAATATTTTAACCTTTTATTTAACTTTGCAGTCTGACTCTCTTAACCAGCCTGGGTCTAGGCTGCTGTGTGAGTCCGGCATGCTGGCCCAGCCCCTTCTCTTCCTGCGTTGCCCTGTAGCGGTGTCCAGCTCTAGTGCCAGCACTGCACCACGTCTATCTCACTTTTCCCTATACCTGCCTGGGCCAAGGTGACGTGGAGTTAAGCCGTCAATGAGGTTGCTAGGGAAGGGGGACCCACAGCCACACAATCTTTTTTTTTTTTTTTTTTTTAGCCATTTCCTGGCACCGAGTAGGTAAAAAAAAAATACTGGAGCAACAAACCTTCACAAGCAAACCTTTAAATCGCTGGGCTCCTAAATTGAGAGTGTAATATTCCCCTTAGTGCAAACAGAAAGGTGATAAGGCTGGTTTGGTTTGGGTGAAAAGGGTAGAATGTTCTAGAACAATGTCTTCCCACCTCCCTGGCCTTTCCCTCCCTCCTTCCGCAGGGAGCGGTCCCTGAATGACCTACCTGAGCCTGCGGAGAGGGCACAGAGGGGACCCACAGAGCCACCAGCTATGGGATGGGGGAGGGGCAGGTTTGGAGAGAAGCTGTGTGACCTTGGCCAAGAGCCGCTTCCTCTCTGTGCTCTGTGTGTCCAGAGCTGGGTGATCTCTAAGCCTGACGGCAATGCCTTAGGACTGTGCTGCCTCTGTCCCTGGAGCAGCGTCCATACTGCAAAAGTCACTCTTATAGGGGCTTGAGTGGCTGATGGTGTTTTCTTATGAAGGTTTATTTTATTTTTTGCAGGTACTGGGGATAGAACCCAGAGTCTCCCCACTGACCTACTTCCCCAGCCCTTTTTAAATTTTTTATTTTGAGGAAGAGTCTTGCCAGATTGTCCAGGCTGGGCTTAGATTTGTGATCTCCCTGCCTCAGCCTCCCAGGGTGCTAGCCGACCAGGCCTGGCTCAGGTCCTGATAGGTGGAGAGCTAGAATTTCAGGCTGGAAGAGGGGGACCAGGGCCCCACAGCTTCAGAGAATTCGGGGAAGGTGCTAAGAACCCTGGAGGAGACAGGAGTGGTGGCAGCCTTGTCCTCAACACACGGGAAATGCTGGGAACAGCCAACAGCTTAGCCCAGGAGTTGGACGCGATGGGAGCGGGGCCTCACTGGCACTGGGTGGAACCTAGAAGTCCTGAGTTCTCTGGAGTCAGGAAGTTTGCCCCACTGTCCACCCACAGCTCCTACAGCTGTGTCCGGCCAGGCAGGGCCTTCTGGGTAGGGGAGAGGCAAGGTCACCAGGCCACATCCCTCCCTTTTTCTATCTGAATCCCCCACGGTCTTCCTCTGGGAAACTGCAGTAGGATGCCAGAAAGGGACCCCAATTTTGTTTGTTCCTTCAGTTTTACTGAGTATATGTGCTGCCAAAATGAGCACGGTTTAGTTTAGTGAGATAGGATCTTGCTGTGTAGCCCAGTCTGGCCTTGAACTCATTGTGATCCTCCTGCCTCAGCCTTCCAAGTGCTGAAGTTACAAACATGTGTTGCCACACCCAGCTGTTCTCCCCAACTTTGGCAGAAGAAGTGGCCTCCAGTTCTCTTGCAGAAGTGGAGTGACCAGCACCTGGAGAGGATTACTCTTGAAATCTGTCCCCTCTACTCCCCTCTCTCCTGAGCCAGCCTGGTTTCCTCCCCTTTGGACCTCACTGGACCCCAGGTGTCCTCCAGCAGCAGAGCTGGCCTGTTGCTCCCCACTGTCAGCCCTTCCATGGCTCCTGGCCTCCTCGGCTGTCACCCTGCTCCTGTGTGACAGGGTAATGACCATAGGGCTGAGAGGGAGCTGAACTTGGAAATGTGAAGCCGCTGCTTTGAAATCCTTGCTTTTTTCCTGGCTTGGAACTAAGCTGGGCCAAGGAGGGAGGGTGGGGGTGGAGCTGAGCCCCCCTCAGCCCATGCAGGGAGTGGGGGGAGGCAGCAGGGTCTGAGGATGGGTGGTGGTGCTGATGCCCTGCTGTCCCCAGGAGAGGTGGCAACTGGGAAATCTGGTTGTTGCAGCCCTCCTGGGCCTTGCACATTTGTCCCTGGGTCTCCTGAACTCTGGTGACAGGCCAGGACAGAGAGGGGAAGGGGCAGTTGAGTTTAAAGAAGCCATCTGGTACATGCTTGTAATCCCAGCACTGTGGGAAGCTGAGGCAGGAGGATTGCAGGGAGGATTGGGCAATTTAGCGATTTAGGGAGACCTTGTCTCAAAAGAGGAAAGAAAAAGTCACCAGGGATGCAGCTCTGCGTGAAGGCAATCCCCATTTCCGGATGGCAAGGTCCTGCTCTCCCAGCCTCTGAGATCGAGTCGGTGCCACCTCTGCCCAGGAGGGTGTGCATGCATGGGACTGGGGTACAGGGTGTGAGCAGAGCCCCCCACCTCTCTTACCTGGGTCTGGCTGCAGGACTTGGGAATGTGTGACAGGCTCCGTGGGCAGTGGCTCTGCGTTCCCTCCAGGCCCTGTCTTCCTTGAAGGCCAAAGAAGGGACAAAGTCCTGCACTCAGAAGGCCCCGCCCAGGGTGTACCTGGCTCATGTCAAGTGGCAGCTTGTAAAGGAGGGGGCCCTGCCTGAGCCACCCAGATGCAGGCCAGGAAGGTTGCCAGAGGGAGGGGAACGATTGTGGCTGGGCCAGCTCCAACTCAGCACCTTCAGGGCACTAGGACAAACAGCTATGTCAGATTCTCATCTATTGACCTCGTTTAGGGGAGATGCTCTTAGTAGCCCCATGTTCAAGGTGGGAAACCAAACCAGTCATGATGGTGCACGCCTGTAAATCCCAGCACTCCAGGAGGCTGAGGCAGGAGAATCATGAGGTCAAGACCAGCCTGGACTACAAAGTAAGCTCAAGTCCAGCTCGAACTATATAGCGAGATCCTGTCAACAAAACAAAACAAAAAAACCAACTACAGTGGAAAACCAAAGCGCAGAAACACACAGCAGCAGCAAAAGGAGTTGACACTTTTTTTTTTTTTTGAGTCAAGGTCTCCCTGTGTAGTCCAGGCAGGCCTTGAACTCACAATGATCCTGCTACCCAGCCTCTTGAGTGCTGAGATCACAGGTATGTGCCACCATTCCCAGAGAGAAGCTGAGATTTAAAACCAAGCAGGCCAGATTTTAGAAAATATGGCAGGGTGGCCGAGGATTTAGGTCAGTGGCGTAAGCGCCTGCCTGGCAGGTCCTGAGTTCGATCTCTTGTACTGAAAAAAAAAAAAAGAAAACATGGCGGGGGGGGGGACACAAAAGAAAGTATCTGCAAGGGTGTGAATTCTGCCTCTGATCTCAGCACTCTGGGAGGCTGAGGCAGGTGGATTATAAATTCAAGTCCATCCTGGGCAACTTAGTAAGAACCTGGTTCAAAAAAAAAGGCTGGGTTCAACCAGTTCAAAGGCCCTGGGTTCAACCCCCAGAACTGCAGAGAGAAAGGAAAATAGAAAGATAGAGCACAGGAGAGGAGAGGAGAAAAAAAACTCTGCAGATAGTATCTTATTACAGTTTCCCTTTGAAACACACACTCAGGAAACCACCCTTTTGCAACCATTAAGACACCACAGTAAAAAAGCAAAAATAAAAAAGACACCACAATCTATGAATGGCACCATTGTTTGGCCTGTAGCTGCCTAAATCAGGCAGGACTCATGAGGAAGTGTACCTAGGAGGGCCGAGCCAGGTGCCACCTGAGCCCTGGAAACTCAGACACTGAAGGAGCACAGGGTCACTCAGCACCTGAGCGAAGCAGGAGATTCACTGAGCAGCTAGGAATCCCCTTTCTGTCTCTTTCTGTTTTTTTAGGTTCAGGGTCTCACTATGGAGCCAGGCTGGCCTTGAACATGTGACAAGCCTCCTGCCTCAGCCTCCTGCATGCTAGGATTACAGGCATGTGCTACCACAGCTGGCTCAGCTGTGAATCTCTTTTAAAAAAGGAAAAAAAAAATCAGATCAGGCTCCCAGCTTCACCACGAGTTTCCAGGAAACAGGAGGGTAAAGTTTGTGGTGAACCCCAGGGTGAGAACTCGGTCAGCCACATCCTGGAGCAGGGGGAGGCAGATGTCAGGATACCAGGCCTGGTTTCCCCGAATGGATGTTATGGAAATGAGAGCTGGCAGGGGCAGCTCAGAAAATGTGCACAACAGACTCTAGGCTCACGGGCAAGCAGGTTTCCCCTTTCTACAAAGTGTGATCAAAATATACAGTGAATGTTCAAATAAAAATGTATTACAGTAGAAGACATAGTACCATGAATGTTCCTTTAAACCCTCCCCTTTGCTTCAGACATTGATCCCATTGTTGTTGGCACATTTTTTTTCTTTGAGGCAGGGTCTTGCTATGTAGCCCAGGTGGGCCTGGAACTCACAGCAATCCTCCTGCGTCAGCTTCCTGAGTGCTGGGATTACACTTGTGCACCACCACACCCAGCTACTGCCACTTCTGGGCTCTGGAAGTAGCCTGTTATGAGTGCATCTCTGAGGTGTAATTTAAAAAAAATACACTGCACTTAGCACTTGGGAAGCTGAGGCAGAAGGATCACTCTGAGTCTGACACCAGCCTGGGCTACCCAATGAACTCCAGGCCAGTCTGAACTACATAGTGAGAGCCTGTCTCAAAAAAAGCATGGAGGGGCAGCCCCGTTAAGACCCCTCTGGCCTCTCAGGAGCCTTCCTGTTCCCCGTTCCTATCCCCCAGTACATTTTCCTACTCTTAAAAACAAAAGCTCAATGCTGTGGCCAAGCGCCACCCAGCAGGAAGTCAAGCTCTTAAAAACATGACACTGTCCTCATCCACTTTGTCTGCCACATCTGGCAGCGTGTAACTTCCTGCTGTTCCCCACAGTCAGAGTGACCAGCAAATGCAAATGTTCTGAATTGATTCAGACACCGCAGCAGCCGTGACGGCACAACTGAAGACAGTCACAAGCGAGGACTCCAAAACTGCTGCAGGAAGCGGCACGTCAGAAGATCGGTGCATCAGGAGAGAGGGAGAGGATGCTGAGGGGGTCACAGCCACGTGCGGTCACTGTGATTGTGAAAACCTTTTAAATATTGTATTTTTCAATCATGATGCACATGTAACATGATGCTTAAACGTCACAGTGATGCAGGCCCATCCTTCATCCCGTAACCTCTAGCACCCGGATGCTTTGATGGCTACAGTGATCACTAAAGCTAGCGGCACAGACTCCCCAAGTGCTGGGACGCAGCATCCCGTCTGAGGACTGGGGTCCTGACCCTCTTTCTCTCCGTGTGTTCCTGATAGTCGCGGAGAATGTACTCATGCCCTGCACTGTGCCCCCAACGTACTGTCATGGAACGAGATGGGCAGGACAGTTGTATGCCATGCTCGTGTGCATAGTCGATAAATGGAAGTCATCTGAAGGCATGCGGAAGGGTGGTGTGCAGTGAAATAATTAGGGCGTGGTGAATTCTGCATATTCATTCCCTTTGGCTTGGGTACAAGGTACTCACTTGATGCAGTGACATTTGGATAATGGCTTGGCTGTCACCAGCTCGCCCCTCTAGATTCTTAGCCACCTGCCCTCAATTTTAAGCCACTGCTTAGAATCTGCTCCCTGGCCAAAGGTGTAGGCCCGTGTTCCCACTATGCACAGGGAAGGCAGGGAAACTGAGGGAAGTATCTCAGTCATTCTTTCTGTCCCTGACCCCTGTACTCCCTGGCCTGTACCTCCACGAGAGGCTCTTTATGCCCAGTAGCCATTCCATCCTTTCCAGGAGCGGTGGTGCAAGTCTGGGATCCCAGCACTTGGGAGCCTGAGGCAGAAGAGTTCATGACCAGCCGGGGCTACATAGTGAGACTCTGTCTCAAAAAATCAAAATACAAAAAAACCTTTTCTTTCATTTTTTTAAAATTTTGAGATGGGATCTTTCTAAGTTGCTAAATTGTTCAAGCTGGACTTAAACTTTTTTTCCTCCTGCCTCAGCCTCCCAGAGTGCTGAGATTACAGGTGGGTACCACCTAGACTGCCTAATGTGGGTTTTATCTCAACAGAAAAGTGATAAAATTATAGTTGAGTCAAGTCTTATGCTGCCTCAGCCCTGATGTGTCCCTCTCATAGAGCAGCTTCTATTTAGTTAGTTTTTGTTCTTTTTAAGACACGGTCTTGCTTTGTGGGTTAGGTGAGTTGAATCTTGAGATCACTATGTAGCCCAGGCTGGCCTAGAACTCCTAGAAATCCTCCTGCCTCAGCCTCCTGATTGCCACTGAGGCTGAACAAAGGACCACAGTGGATGAATGGGATAGGGACACATAGGCCTTCACAGCTGCGCCCACCGGGTGACATACTGCAGAGAGCAAGGGCAGGAGAGGTAGGTGCCTTTGTGATGGGCTCTGGAGAAGAAACAAAACCTGGGGCTGAGAGGGGGACACTCAGAGGGAGGACTCCTCCTGCAGGAGGAGGCTGCAATTGGACTGAGACCCATAGGGCATCAGAGTGAAGAATCAGCCTGGGCAGGGCCCTCTGTCCCCCTATTCCTGGGCTCATCTGCTCCACCTGTACCCTCGTCCCAGCTTCCTGCAGCCCCATTTCTCTCTGGCTCCCCTCGCCATCCTCATCCCAGCAGCCTCCCCAATCAGCCCAACCTGTGGTCCCTCCCAGCCACAGCCCTTCAGCCAGCTGGCTGCACTCTGCTCGGGATCAGAGCTGATGAGCTGGAGGATGCCCAGGTCTTAGGCATCTCCCACTGCAGCCCAGGGCATGAGGGGTGGGAGCCCCAGGATGCAGCCCTGCAGTCAGCTGAGCTGGGCATGGGATCCACAGCCCAGCAGTGGTGCCAGATGAGGCAGGTTCCCCCAGTACCCCAAGCCCAGCTCTCTCTCTCAGCCTTGTTTGGCTCTGCCCTCTCAGGAACTAGGGGTTGTGCAGAGAAGATCACAACACAGACATAGGCGAAACCCAGCTCTCTCTTGGTATAACAGGCAGCAAAGTTAGGTAGAAATATTCTAGGCTGTCATACAGGGCCAGCCCTCGAGGGAGGCAGTACAGAAGAGGAGAACCCATCTCAGCCGTGGCTGGAGGCACAGGCCTCAAAACAAAGGCAGAATGACCAAGCCTACACCCTATACTTAGTATCTCCTTTCCAATATGTCTAGATAGACATTGGTCGCCCCGCTCATTGGGTGAGCAGGACCTCTGATCCATACTCCCTAAAAAGGTCCTTGTTCTTTTCCTGCACACTTTGCTTCATGACCTGCTTCCCACTGGATCGTAGTACCCAAGCAGCTATACTTGGAATCTTGATTTATCATAGTTCTGTCCCATTTGTGCCCACATTGCGATTTTGCCGTATAAAACCTCCTCTGAGAAGCAGGCTCACTAACAACCCGCTTTCAGGTCCCCTCCTGACTCTCACGAACCATCTCTCAATGAATCTGTTGTACTGTTAACATCTGTTGCTCCTTAGCATTCTTGGATTTTGGGGAACCCAGTGTGTCTGACACCTAGCAGGTCTACTTCCCACTAGACTCACTCTACCATCGTCTTCATGGTACCTGACTGCTCCTTGATACTTTAGCGTCTCATCTTTTTTGTGGCACTAAGGATTGAAGTCAGGGCTTTTGCATGAAGCTACATCACCAACCCCTTTTTATTTGCTAACTTACTAAATTGCTCAGGTTGGGCTCAGACTTGGATCCTTCTGCCTCAGCCTCCCAGGTACACACCATTGAGCCTAGTTTCTAATCTGCTTGTGTGTGCAAGCACAGCACTGAGGGTCAATCCCAGGGCCTCATACATGCTAAGGGTATGCTCCACCACCGAGGCGCATCCCCAGCCCTCAGGCTGCTTGTTTTGCATCCCCTTCCCAGGCTGCTCCAGTAGGATGAGGTGCACTGCATGGTTCAGGACATCAGGAAATGGTGCCCTCACCTTTCTGAGGCCCAGGGTCCTTTTCTATTTCTTTTTTTTTTTTTTTTTTTTTTGTCTTTTTCATTTTTATCGGTACCGGGGATCGAACTCACGACCGCCTGCTTGCAAGGCAGGTGCTTATGCCACTGAGCTAAACCCCCAGCCCCCTCCTTTTCTATTTCTGCAGTGTTTGCCCCTCGTATATCTGTGTTGGCTCCAGTCACAGTGGATTGTGTGTGGGGGGGTCCACCCTGCTCGGGGCACCTCATCTTAAACAACCAAATCTGCCAACAACTGCTTCCACACCGGGCCACATGTGCTGGGGCCTGCAGCACAGGAATTGAGGGGGTCAAGACTCCCCCACAATCAGCATGTCCAGTGGGCCACACACAGACTGAGGGACCGCCCACTGGGCTTGGTCCCCAGCTTCCTCTCTGCCAAGGACAAGGGTGAGGTGGCCCCAACCTGCTGGCTGACTTCTGTCTTGGCACTCACAGCCTCAGCAAGGAGCTCAGTAAACATTTGCTGAATGAATGTACATGTGGGCCACGGTGACTGGCGATAGATTTGCGGCTGGCAGCTCCCCAGCTTCTGGTGTGGCTTTGATACAATAAAAGCTGTTCTCTTCCTTGTGTGGCAGTGAATGCCCCTTCCCTCTTGCCAGTACACTTTGGTGTCTTAGTTACCCAGGTAGTAGTTCCTGCAGCCCCAGGAAATGCAGTTCCTCTTCCAGTTCCAGCTGGTTCTGTCTCTTAGAAAAGCTCCATTACTGTGACGCCCATTGTAAACCAGACCCCAACTGACAAGCCAGTTGGTCTTTGTACTTCCTGCTTACTTATCTCATGTAAGTCCTAGGCCATCAGAGATGGGGGCCTGATATTCTGGGAAGGATCCAGATCAGTGCCCATCGACATAAAATAAATCTGCCTCCAGATCCTAGGTGTCACCTCAGTATTTCTGTGGAATTTCTTGAACGAGCAAGGCACAACAAAGGCAGACAGGAGGGGATCCCTAATCTTCACCCATGCCACCCCAAGACTGCTAGAGAGAGGACAGGGGAAGGGAAATGGTCTTGGGGTCTGGGATGGCTCGGTGGCTTTACCCTTGTCCCGAGGCAAGTCAGTGACGGATGTGTCACCTGTCTGCACTGCACTCTGGGGGTCCACATTCCTCACCCTGCTAAGCCGTGAGACTTTCAACCAAGTCAGGGTGAAACCTCAGCGTAAGAAAGTCTTTCATGTGACACCAAAATGTGGGTGACACTGGCCAGAGGCCCCAGAATTTTTCTTTGGGGTTTTATTTTTTCTTCTCATTACTGGGGATTGAACCCTGAGCTTCACACTGAGCTACATCCTAGCACAGTTTTTTTTGAGACAGTATCACCAAGTTGCCCAAGCTTGTCTTGAACTTGGGATCTTCCTGCCTCAGTCTCCCAGAGTGCTGCCATTAGAGGTGTGCACCCTGTCATATAGCTGTGATGTAAGTTAAACAAGATGATGTTAACATTGTGGGTGAGATGTGGGAACAAAAGGGGGATGGTGTGGTTCTAGAGGGCCAGCGATATAAGGAGCTGTGACCATCCTGGGAGAGTAAATACCCTGTTATGTTTTGGGTCTGGATGTCTCCCCAAAGCCTCATGCAATCATGGAGGTGGGCTTCTAGAGTCTGTGAATGACTTGTGATCCAATGCTGGGAACATGGGTGTGGCCTATATAATATAAGGGACAGAAAAAGTTTTCTATCTTTTTTCTTGTTGCTTGTGCTGTTTTCCACTGCCATGAACTGCTGTCCTTTGCCATGTGTCATTGTGCCTTGGAGCCAGTAGATTATGGACTGAAACCTCCACAAACTGTGAGCTAAAAAAACCTTCCCTTCCTTCACTTTGGGTGTCAGGTATTTTGTTTGAGCAATGAGAGAAAAGTAAGATACAGCCCGACTTCGCACTTTTCTCCGCCCACTTTCTGCTCTGGGCAGAGAACTAATGCCCAGCCCTTAGGGAAGAGCTGGGAATCAAGGTGGGGAACCCAAAAGAGCCAGCTGGGCTGACTTGTGCTCCTATAAAAATTCAGTTGTTGAAGTCTTGGCCCCTGGTACCTTACAATGTGGCTGTGTTTGGACAGGCTCTTTAATCACTAGGGTAAACTCTGATCCTACTATGTCTAGGGTCCCAGTGAGAGGAAGAAATTTTGCTGTAATCCCGGCTACCTAGGAGGCTGAGGCAGAAGGATCCCAAATCCAAGTTATGGCAGTGAGACTTTATCTCAAAAATAAAAACTAAAAAGGGCTAGGGCTGCAGTTTAGTGGCAGAGTGCTTACCTACCATGGATGAGGTCCTGGGTTTAATCCCCAGTACCAAAAACAAAACAAAAGCCAGCTCTGGGCATAGGCACAGAGGGGAACATAGCAGAAGACACAAAGAGAGCCACCTGCAGCCTGAACCAGGCATGGAAGCTTCCTCATGGTCCCCAGGAGGAATCAGCCCTGCAGACACCTCTGTCTTGGACTTCCAGCCAGTCAGACCTTGGGCTGATCGCTTTCTGTGGCTCAGGACTTGGACATGGCTCAGCTGCCAGCCTCATTGATAGCCCCCAGGATCAGGCCCTTTCACAGTTCCCTGCCATGGGGAGCAGGGCTTCGATAGGGGATGGCAGGAGGGACAGTGTGTGATTCTGAGGTCAGGCAGCAAAGGAAACTGCAGCTTCCAGCTTGGTTAGGAGCTGATGCGCAGCCAGCCGAGCAGGCATGCAGAGGGTGCAGCCTGAGTGGACACAGGACAGCAGCTCCACCACACCTGGCCACAGACAGCACTTCGCTGTTTCTATAACTGTGTCATCTTGCTGTGTAGCCCAGGTTAGCCTCAAACTTGTCATCTTCCTGCCTCAGCCTCTCAAGTGCCAGGATTACAGGAATGTGCCACCACTGTTGTCACTAAACTGCCAAGTCCAGGGGTGAGTTTTGCAGCAGGAGAGCTGACAGGGCCCGTTCCCCAAACCCCTTCCTCCTGTGTTCAACCTCCCAACCTGGCACTACACAACAGCACCGAGGATTTAAGGGAGGATACTGAGGCCCAAAATAGCCCTGAATACAAACATTATTATTTCTCCACAAAAGGGAATGTGCTCAGTTTCAGAAGTAAGCCAAGAAACGGAGATTCCAAGAGACAAGTTGGAAAGACTTCCGAGTGGGAAGGAGATGTGATCAAAATATTTTCTAAGGTGGACCATGGAGAAATGATAAATGAATGCAAACAACCATGTGCTGGGCCCCCTGCGTACACACACAGGGGCCTCATACCAGCTCCCTGCAACCAGGAGAGGAATGCTACTGAGTCAGTTCCCAGTGTGAGGTAGGAAGGCAGTGGGAACTTTCATTTTTACTACTAGAATTGAACCTAGGGACTTAATGTTGTGCTATACCCCTGGCCTGTCAAAATTATCATTATTATTATTATTGTCTTTTTGAGACAGGGTCTCGCTATGCAGTTCAGGCTGATCTTGGGCTCACTTTGTATCTCAGGCTGGTTTCAAACTTTCAAAGATCCTCCTGCCTTAGCCTCCCAGGTGCTGAGATTACAGGAATGTGCCACCACACCTGGCTAAAATCAGTATTTGTTTTTTTATTTTGAGACATGAGCTCACTTGGACACTAAATTGCTTGGGCTAGGCTCAGACTTGCAATCCTCCTGCCTCTCCCTTCCATAGTGCTGGGGTAAGAGGTCAGCTCCTCCATGCCTAGCTTGGAGGTGGGAGTTTGAACCAAGCCTGGGTACTGGGGAGTTGGACCCTAGGAGGTGATGCGGTTAAATGAGGCCTCTGAGAGAGGCTCTGACCCAGCAGGACAATGGCTGTAACAGGAGTCCAGACCTGATCCTGGTGCCCTGTGCCCTGTACTGCCCCCACCAGGCCTCTCCTGCTGCCAAGTGGGTGTAGGTGCCATACTCCTTGATGTCGAAGCACCGTGAGCCTCCCTCCCTTGTGAGCCACCCACTCCGTAGTGTCCAAGCTGCCATGGCCGCAGAGCGCAGGTCGAGATGGTGCCCACTGGGTATCCTCAGCACAGCGCTCAATGCGGGCTGAGGCCAGGCATTGTGGGCGCCTCCTGAGTGTGCATGCATGCCTGTGTCAGGGCCAGTGGGCCCTGCCTGGCTCCCTGATCGTCTTCCTCACCTGCACACACGCCAAGGCCTCTCTGCTCCAAGCTTTCAGCTACCACAAGTTGCGGCTGTCCAGACCTCAGGGCAGAACAGCCTGGCTGTTCCTCCTCCCGGGAGATGCTGTGAGAACTCTGGACTCTGCTACTCGTGCTGCAAGTTTCCAAACGCCATGCCAGCCACTGTGACAATGGCCAACACTTCCCACCCACTGATAAGGCACCAAGGCATCTCCCAGCCATGACCCGAGGTGAGCTCGGCCACTTCTCACCCCCTTGTTGCTGAGTAAGTCCCGCTTCCGGGGGGCACAGAGAGGTGAAGTCATTTGTGCAAGTCACTCAGCAGACGTATAGCTGGATTCAAACTCCCTAAGGGATCTGAGGCCACAAGCTGTGCCCATATACACCGCCTTTTGGGGGACCAGGACGATGGATGCTCAGGCCCAGGACTAGAGGCTGCTCTGCCCCAGTTTGGCGGCGATGCCCACCCACTCAGGCAGGAAGGCCGCCTCGGGCTTGAAGACCTCGAGGTAGGGGGAGTCAGGCAGCGTGTAGTTGGCCAGGTAGACGGTATCCCCACCTGCGAGGTAGGCGGCCCAGATCCCAAAGGTCCCGATGGTCATGACCGTGTGGTTGCACTGCGTGAGCAGAGCAAAGTCCCTGCCCGGCGAGCCCTCCAAGCCATTGCCCGCGAACACCACGTCCCCGCGAGAGGTGTCCATGTTTTCCCGGCACCAGGCCATCCCGTTGCTGGTGACCACAAAGACCGGCGCTGGGTAGCGCGCGCGGAACCAGTCCAGGGCCTGCTGCAGGTAGCCGCGATCGGCCACCACCCCCTTCCACACGCGGGGCATGACGTGCACGTAGTCGCCACGCCGCACGTGCACGCCCACGAAGGTGCGGGGCCGCGAGCCCTGCACGCGCAGCTCCCCCAGGAAGGCCTGGGCCTGGCGGCGCACGTGCTCGTGCAGGCTGAACTCACGCAGGATCTCGGGCCGCAGGTGGTGGTAGAAGGTCCAGGAGCAGGGGTAGCCGGTGAGGCGCACGTAGCGGTCCTGGATGTGGCGGTAGCGCTCCTGCATCCAGTCGTCCAGGTGGTAGTTGCGCCACGTGATGCTGTGGGCTGTGGCACTGTGCAGCACTGGGAGGCTGATGCGGAAGAGTGGGGCCAGCGTGCTGTGCATGTGCTCGGGGATGAAGGCCGGCCGCCCGTTGGCCTTGGCCAGTGCATACAGCGTGGCGTACTGGCCCATCTGGTTCCCTAGGCGGCCCACTGCGTCCACGGTGAACACGCCCTCCCTTGGGAGCTGTCCGGGGGCCAGTAGCACTCTGGGTGAGGAGGCCCAGGGGGTGGGCACCAAGGCCAGGCGCTTGTGGCAGTGGAAGACAGTGGATACCACGAAGATGACAAAAAGTAAGTACAAGGTGGAGAGGGGCAAGCAGGTGGCCCTGAGTTTCCTGGTGGCTGTAGGAGGAGGACAGAGGTCAGAGGGGATGACTGGGATATGAGTCTCACACGCTTCTGCTACCCCCACTGTCCATTTTTCAGTCCGCCCAGCTGTCCCAAGTCCAGGGACTGGGATCTGAACTGGGCCTGAGTTCCAGATTCCCCCTTACTGGTGCTTTGGAGCTCGGCAAGCCACTGTGCCTCTCTGTACCTTTCTCAACCGGGATGATTCAGTGGCACTGTTTGAAAATGCCCACATACAGCTGGTCATGGTGGTGCAAGCCTGTAATGATAGCACCGGGGAGGCTGAGGCAGGAGGATCACTGTGAGTTCAAGACCAGCCTGGGCTACATAGCAAGACCCTGTGTCACAGACAGAAGTGAATTGCCACACAAAAGGAAGAGAGAGAGAGGAAAATGCCTGTCATTGACTCTGTATAACCTGCAATTACAGCCATCTATAGAACCCATCCTAACCACCCCACACACCACTCACCCCTCATCTGAGTTTCACTCTTCAGAGTCGCTTACCCAAGGTCAGTGTGCTTTTAGATCATTAAATGAAGACTCCCAGCAGTGTATCATGGCTAGCAGTGTATCAACCACCAGAGAACCCACCTTTGGGTTCTCTGCCTCTGGAGCAGCAGATGAAGTCTTTCCCTCTGGCAAATGAACCGTCTAACCCCTCTGGCCGCACACCTGGCCACATACACCCCACCTCCCCACCCCAGCTGCAGAGCTGCATTTTACTGTTACACAGTGGGCAGGTCTGTGTCTGAGTAACTCACTTACTCAAGGGGTGCAAAGTGCAATAAAGTGATACTAGCTACTTAGGTACAGCAAAGAGGAGCCAGAAAGTGCTTTCTTCAGATGAAAAGTAAAAGTGCAGTTAGGATAGGTTGAGGCAAAAGATCGCATTCATGCTTTTTTTTTTTTTTTTTGAGACAAGATCTTACCATGCAGCCCAGGCTGGCCTCAAACTCCTAATGATCCTCCTGCTTCAGCCTTCCAAGTATGGGGATTGCAGATGTTTGCCACCATATCCAGGTTACAATCTTCATGAAGTATACTGTTCTCTTACAATAGTTCTTATTTTTAGTTGTTGTTGTTAATCACTGGCTGAGCCTAATGTAGAAATTAAACTCCACTAGAGGTATTAATGTCTTTGAAAAGAACAGGGCACGTGGACTAATTGATTCTGGGAATCCTTTTGGGGGCTTGGTGTGGTCCCCTGTATTGACCACTCTAACTTTTTTTTTGAAACAGGGTCTTGCCCTGCAGTTCAGGCTGGTCTTGAACTTACTATGTAGCCCAGGGTGCTCTCAAACTCACAGTGATGCTCCTGCTCAGCCTCCTGGGTGCTGAGATAATATGCCACCATGCCCAGTTATAACATTTTTTGACAGTACACAGAAGTGTCCTGTCCATGCTGTAAACTAACTGTTCGAGTGTCAGGTGCACATCAGCCATGACACCAAGCAAGGCAGCATGTGAAAGCACAGGAGACAGGGGTCCTCCCTGTCCCACTCAGAGGACTCAGGGTCCCGGCCAGGCCACACTGATGAGGTGCCTCAGCGCACTGGTGTTTCTGTGACGGTGTCAGCCACAGCCATCACTGTGGGTGCACACAATGTGTCGGCTGCCTATGTCTCTGCCCCTCTTGTGAATCCAGGTTAGCCAGGCCTCCCTCAGTTGTCAGATGTGGCAGAAGTGACCCCGTGGCCGTTTCTGGCTCCGGATGTAAGGGACCAGCACTTCTCACTCCCTGTTCCTGAAGCACTCCTCTGTGATGCCCGACACTTGGCTTTCGCTGTGTATGAGCACCCCTCCCCCACAGCACTTGGTGGTGAGGTTCACATGCCATCCGATCCACCCACTTAAAACGCACAATTTCATGGCTTTTAGGGCCGTCACAGGGCTCTGTGACCATCTGAATCACTTCTGAAACATCTGCATCACCCTGAGAGGAAACCCTGCCCCTCTCGCCATCTCCCCCAGGCTGCCCCAGCTCCCTCCTACCCACCAACTGTACTGGCTTTTGTCTCTGAGGATCTGTGATTGGTGCCACATCAGGCCTCTAGTTTGGCATCAGAGAGCACTGTGTCACTTAGTCCATGGCCCCTGCCACAACCAACCTGCCGCCCACCCGTGTGCTAGCTCTGGGTGGGCAAGGTTCCTGTTTGCCTCAGGGAAACTGTGCAGTGGCACTGTGGGGTCCCAGGCCGCTCTGCACTCCGCTCTCAGCACTTGCCAGGTCCCACATCCTGCACTCTCACCCCTCCCATCCCCACCTGGCTGCTGTCACCATCGTAGGCCTGGCTGGGCAGCCAGCAGTGTGGCTCAGAGGAGCTGGGTGCATGGCCTCAAGGTCCCACTCTGGGCTCAGTGGACTTGGAGGACCACAGCACCTGTCCTTGTGATGGAAAAACACACAGGCCCCATCCTCGGACTTCTTCTGCAGCCAGCTCTGCCCTGGCTCCTCCCAGGCCTCAGCCAGTGCCACTGCCCTGTGGGTCGCCTTGCCCCCTCCCCATCAGGGCCACATCTGAACACCTCAAACTTCCCCGATCACCTCAGGTTTTGCATGGGTCCCCAGTGAGGTCAGCCAGCTGGCAGCATGTGAGACACAATGCCATAGCTATGCTCGGGAAACAGTGTCTACTGTGGAAGTTTCTAGAAAGCAAATGGAACTGTCCTGAACTGCTCTGCCCCGCACTGATGGAGAATGCACCCCAGTCATCACACCCAACCCAGGGTTCCACACTGGGCCACCACCATGCATGTGACCAGAGCAGCCCTGCAGCTGCTGGCAGATGGGCTCCTGGTGGGTTTGTGCTCATGTTGGCATTTGAAATTCTTTTTTCTCAGTGCTGGGGGTTGAACTCAGGCTGAACTACATCCCCAGCCCCTGCCTGCCTTTTTGAGATGCAGTCTCACTAGGTCCTCAAAGTTGCCCAAGCTGGGCTTGAGGTATCAACCCTCCTGCCTCAGCCTCCCCTCCAGCCAGGATTACAGGCGTGTGCTGCCATGCTGGGTGAAACTCTTCAGTGCTGAACAAGGGACCTAGCTTTTCATTTAGTACGGCTCCTCCCAGGTACGGCCCGCTTTCTCCAAGGGCTCCCCCTCACGGCCTCAGCCTCAACAGCCAGAAAATAGAGCTGACTGAACCAGGGCAGCTGGGCCAGGGCGCTGCAGGTGCTGGCGCAAACCTGGTCCTCTGGGTGGGAAACAACTGGCCACCCAGTCTCATCACCAAGGCCAATGCCAGGGTTTCCTGAAGACTTCACTTCTCCAGGCGTGAGCCTCGGGCTGTGCTACAGGAACAGTGACAAGTCTGCTGAGGGAAGCAGCCCAGCCTCCCTTGGGCCATGTACAGTGGTCTATGCAGGAGCTTAGGAGACACATTCGGCCCAGAGAGGGCATGTAGAAGGCAGTGCCCTCATGATGCAAGTGACATTTTAATCCCTTTTGCAGAGGTGAAGCAACCAAGGCACAGAGAAGTTAAGCAAGTTGCTTAGATCACACAGCTATGGTTCCAGTCTGGGACCTGAGTGTGTCTGAGAGAAGAGTGGCCCTCTTCCCCAGGCGCTGCTCAGAGATACTTCCTGGGCTGTCTCCAAACCTCTGTTATTCATGAGAGCTGGGAATCCCAGCAGGCCCTGACACCTCCCCTGCAGCCTGAGGGTGAGGGTCCCAGTACTCGGGGAGCCCTAGCCCCTCAGTGCACCCAAGAAGTCTATTCCAGCTGGAGGACATGTCCTGGGCTTGTTGCCACCCCCCAGGGGTGCTCACAAGGTTGCTAACTGCTGGGCTACTGAGGCAGTTGAGAAGAAAGTGGACCCAACTTGGTGGCACATGCCTGTAATCCCGGCACTCAGGAGGCTGAGGCAGGAGGATCACCAGGAGTTCAAGGCCAGCCTGGCCTACATAGTGAGTGCAAGGCCAGCCTCAACTGCAGAGCAAGACCTTGTCTTTAAAGAAAGAAAAAACAGGACAAGTGGGGAAGAAAGCAGGCCTCACTCCAGGGGACAGGAGACCTCTCATTCCACAGATGGACAGGGGGAAGAGAAAACGTAGAAAGGACCAAACTTTCCCTAATTCTCTGGCAGCAAAACCAGCATTCCCTTGGCCTTGGTGGCTGCCCTGGGCTCTTTCAGGTATCACCAGGTGTCCCTCAGTGTTGTGCTGCTGACCTGTAGCACCCACCATCTGTTCCAACATGGCTGCCCTTTCCTGGTCAAGATTCCTAGTTGGTTTTTGGTGACTCCCCTCTCTGGCAGGGGGCCTGGCGAGGCCTGAGCCTGGGGTCCTGTTCACAGGTCTCCGCAGGACGGGGCCCGGCAGGCAGGACTCTCTGACGCCAGGAGTCCTGATGTTCACCCTGCCACTCAGCGCCCCTCGCCCAAGCCAGATGTCCCCTCTGACATGGGGACCAGCTCCTCCTCATGGCTTTCAAAATCACCCCCGCTTATCACTGTCCTTGCTCCTGCTGGTCCTGAAGGTCACATGGAGCCTGAGTCATGGGAGCCGGCTGGGCCCAGGTTCCTGCACTGACTGTGAACACATCATGGGCACCCAGGCCAGATGGTAGCAATGTGCCAGCTTCTAGATACCCTTGATCTTTTCAAGGGAAAGTGACAAAAACCTTATTTTTCTAGTCAAAACCATTTGGGTAAGAAAACCATTTGCTGGAGAATTTCAGGAGGAAAGTACCAAGCATCCAGGACACTGGCCTCCAGGGCCCCCACCCTCTGCCCAAGGCCTGAGGGGCTCCAGCTCCCCTGCTGCCCCTCCCATTCCCTTAGTGCCAAGGCCTCTGGGTTCCCTGCTGCGGACAGCACAGATTTTTAGGGCTTGAAAGCAACTGACCTTAACGCTCAGTTAACCCGCAGCACTGGGGTACGAGGCGGGGCTGGCCGGGGTCAGCCCGAGGCAGGGCAGAGGGCGGCTCCACAGGTCAGGGCCGGCTTGAGCTGCCACCACGTGGCACTGCAGGCCGCGCCCTCGGGAGTCAGTGGGGCTGGGCCAAGTAAGGGTGGAGCAGGGACCCCAGACCCAGATTCCATTGCGCACCTATCTGTCCCATTTGCCTGGGGCCTCCGGGCCAGTCTGCTGGGAGCTGTTCAGCTTCAGGCCCAAAAGGGGCAATAGCCCTCCCATCCCACACAGTCTTGGGTGGCGTGGCTGGCAGGGGTCCCTGCAGGGAGTGCGTGGCTGTGGTTGGTGAAGGGGCTGGGGAGGAGGGGGTGGTGTTGGATTCTGCAGGCTCGGCTCGGAGCGCCCGCCCAGACCCCCAGCCTGGGCTGAGAGCAACCACTCGTGCTCGCTCCTCTGTTCCTCCGGAGCCACTGCCGCCAGCCGGGGAGGAGTGCATGGGAGCAACTGCAGACTCTGTGGCACAGGTTGGTGATGCCTGGGACCTGGTGCGGGTGGGAGTGCCTGTCAGGAGCCGGAAGGGGCTGGGGACGCAGACTCAGGCTGATCAAACCAGGGCCTAACAGTGGGTCTGCCAGGGCCCAGCAGGTGGGGTGGAGGCTGGGGGCAGACAGCTGGGCTCAGTGGTGGCCAAGGGCCAGTTTCTCAGTGCCCTGGGCTACTGAGGGACGTGGGGCCTGGGTCCTCCCAGTGCTAAGGGCATGAAAGAGGGACCCCCTGAACTGCCTAGCAAGAGACCTGCTGACATGGGGGCTAGGCCTGAAAAGGGCTGTGACTGAGGGTGGTGAATGTCTGCCAATGAGCAGGCGCAAAATGGCGCCAGATCCTTCTGGGGTAGGGGGTGGGGTATGGCCTGGGGCAGGGAACCAAAGCCACACCAGGCAGCAGCAGTGGGACACCGGGGCTGCATGGCCCTCCCACCCAGGGATCCAGCAGAGACCCAGAAAGGTCCTGAGATCCCCAATTCTGAGTGGGCTCTTTGGGGGTGCTGCCAGCCTCCAAGGGGACAGTGGGGAGCAGTGGACAGCTGAGTTCTTGCAGTCATCTGTGGCAGTCAGGACTTCTGGCCCCCTTGAGTACCCTGGCATCTGGTGCCCATCCTGTCCCACCCTCCTGCCTTCCTGCCTCTCTCCTCCTTCATTATTACCCGCCACCCCCAACATCTGCTCCCCTATCTGCTTGGGGCCCTGAGGCCAAGTGGAGAATCAGTGTGGGGACTTGGACCCCCAAGTCCTAAGGCTGAGGGTGGCAGGTAGAGCTGGATGATCAGAAAGTCCCCACACCCCCAGCCCTAAAGGAGTCTTAGGCATCTGCTTCCCCTGTCCCCAGCTCCCGCTAGGTGGGAAAGAGTTAAGGACAGGCAGCAGCCGGGCTGGGTGGCAGGGCGGCTGGAGGCCAGAGACCTTTGGTGATAATCCCCTCATGCCAGAGCTGTGGAGAACAAGGTTAGGGCCCCATGTGGGAAAGGCCCCTGCGCTGATCCCTGGGGCCAGGCCTTGGCCTCCTGCTTCTGACTCCCACTGGACACTGCCAGCCTGGCCTTCACTGCACCAGGGCTGCAGGTTGTCCACTGTCCCTGAGGCTCTCAATGGACTCAGCATCACCTGCCAGCCCCCTAGACTCCCAGGATCTCTGAGGTGCCATGAGCTCCGCATGTCCAGGCCCTGGCTCTCACTTCCTGGCCTCCCGAGTCTGTCTTGCTCTGTCCTTCTCTGCGCCAGGCCCTTCCCCTAGGCTTGTGTACCCCCGTTCCTGTGTCTGTTGTCTCTACCTCTGTCCCTTGCTCTCTCTGTCACTAAGTCCCCTCACTCTGCTCAGCTCTGCTCTGTCTCCCCTGCCCCTCTCTAGATTTCAGCATCTGGCAGCCTCTGCCGTCCTTCTCATCGGACACCCCTCTCCCCAGGGGCCCTGTCCCCTTGACACTGACAGATAACTCTGGGGTGTTAAGCTACAGATTAGTTCAGGCAAAATTCTCAATTTTGCTTGCGTGCTTTCCCCCTTGGGTTATGTAAACAGTAATTCTCCCCAGATGGAACTATTTTCCTCGCTTCTAAGAGGGTGAGGAGGGGGCTTGGGCAGGGCTAGGTGGAATGCTAGGGTTCCGCAGAGGATCTCAAGAGCAAGGTGGAGGCTGAAGACTGAGGTCCCACTGGCCACCTCTCCTCTGCAGGTGCTGGCTCTTCCGTGACCATGCCTGTGACCTTTGCCCTCCTGCTCCTCCTGGGCCAGGCCACCTCAGATCCATGCTACGATCCTGGGGGCCAGCCCCGCTTCTGCCTCCCCCCAGTGACCCAGCTGGCTGGTGGCATAGCAGCCCCCTGCCCTCAGGCCTGTGGCCTCTCCCCGGGGATGGGCCCTGGCTCCGGGGCTATCTGTAATGGCAGCCTGACCCTGGACCTGGATGGCCTCTTCCTCCTCACTTCCGTCACGCTGCGCTTCTGCACCCCGGGGCCCCCAGCACTGGTTCTGTCTACTGCCTGGGCCACTGGGGGTCCTTGGCGGCCTCTGTGGCGCAGAGCTGCCTGGCCTGGAGCCTTGGGGGGCCCCGAGAAAGTGACCTTACGCTCCCCACCAGGCCCAAAGGCCAGGGTGGTGGCGCGCCACCTCCGTGTGGAGTTTGGGGGCCGGGCAGGGCTGGCAGCAGCTGGAGTGAGAGGCCGCTGCCAGTGCCACGGCCACGCTGCCCGCTGTGCTGCCCGCTCCCGGCCTCCCCGCTGCCGCTGCCGCCACCACACCACCGGCCCAGGGTGCGAGAGCTGCCGTCCATCCCATCGTGACTGGCCCTGGCGGCCTGCTACACCCCAGCACCCCCATCCTTGTCTGCGTGAGTCCTGGGCCCTGCCTAAGCCCCAGTCTCCCAGGCAGCTGGTCCCTCATCCCCAAGGGTGCAAGGTGTGCTCTTCCTCCCTACAGTGGCCTGCTCCTTGTGCTCCTGTGCTATGCTGGGCCCTGGGTTTCCTCTTCCCTCAGCAGCCCCTAACTGCCACGGGGTGGGGCTCTCGGGACACTGATGACTGTGATGGTACAGGGGAGGGTAGGGGATAGTGCAGCTGGACTCTCCCCTTCTTCTCCAACGAACTCAGAGGAAAGTCCAAGGTGTATGCTTATCTAGCACCTGCCACGTGCCAGGCGGTACAGTCAGCGACCCCATTCCTGGATGAGGAAACTGAGGCCAGCGGTCACGAGTCCCTTGCATAGGACACCCAAGTGCCATGTGTGCCAGGGCCAGGACCCTGGCAGTTGGGCCCTCCTGGGCCTCAGATCACCCCTCACCTGGGTGCTTTAGGAGGATAAACAGGAGCATGGCCCCGGTAGGCAGCCAGGGCTCATGTCCCAGCTTCTCTGCTCACCAGTGATGTGACCCAAGGCAGGTGGCCACTTCCTGCAACCCATCGGGTGGGGACAGTAACTATGCTCCCTTGGGCCCAGTCCTCAGTTCCCCAGTCCCCTACAGCACACCACTGAGATTTTCCTGCAGCCCTGTATCTGTCCCCTGCCCCCAGACCTAGGGCCTCCACTTCACTCAGTGGGCCTCAGCCATGGTCTGCAGGGAAGGCAAGGAAAGACTCAGTATCCATGGGATGGTGTGGGCCACATCCTGAGCCTGAATGGGGCCTGGGTGTGGGGAAGTCATTCCTGTGAGGACTGCAACAGCCCCTGAGGCTGAGCTGGGCCCCACGCTCTGCACCCAGGCTCTCAACCTCCAGAGTTACAAGGAAGGGTCTTTCGGGCCAGGCGAGCTTCTGCATTGGTGTCCCCAATAGTCTTGCACTTTCCCAGCCGAGACCTCCAGAACATAATTTTCTCTTGGGTCAGAAAGGACCTGACTGCTCCCTGAGAACCTGCATGTGCTGCCACTTCTAATGTTCACCAAGCCCTGGCGACTGGGCTGGTAAACCCTGCTGGTCTGGGCAGATCAAGGCCCGGAGGACAGCCCTTCTCCTTGACTGCCCCTTGCTCTACTGGGCCCCTCCCTACTCTTTCTAAGTGAAAAGCCTTTAAACCCAGGTCTCCCCAAGAGTGACCCAGGGGCATTTCGCTAGCAGTACAGATCCCAGGCCCAAGGAATTGATGTAGTTTTTAAAACCCTTCCCTGGTGACTGTGATAAGATGTGAGGCTCATGAGCCACTTCCTTAGAGAACCTGATAAGCATTCCCCGGAAAGCTAACTTCCACCAGTGTCACATGGACACGGTAGGGTTCAAATCCTGCCTCTGACAACCTCCAGGCTACTCTGCTTGGGCAGGTGATCACCTCTCCTTGCCTAAGCTTCCCCATCTGACTAAGTGAGGCGTACAGGACTCCGACAGGCCATGATCAAAAGAAACCTACACCAAGGTGTATAATAGTTGAGATTCCAGAAATTCAATTTTAGTGTACGTGCTGCCAAAGTGAGTACAAGATTCCAGGCATTCAACATGAGAACAGAATATTAAATGCTGTTAGAGGAAAGAGACTAAGTTTCCCATCTGTGATGTGGGGCGATGCTGGTAGCAGTTTCACAGAACCACTGTGAGAATGAAACACATCAAGCAGCCAGGCGTGGTGGCAAACACCTGTAATCTCAGAATTTGGGAGGCTGAGGCAGGAGGCTGTGGCACAAGTTTGAGCCCACACTGGGCAACTCAGTGACTCAGTGACACACTCTCTCACAATAGAAAATGAAAAGGGCTGGGGATGTAAAGCAGCACGAAGGCCCAGCATTCACCCCCCCCCCCCCACACACACACACCACAGAAAAAAAAGAAATAGGTGAGGTGCTCAGCACAGTAGCAGGCCACCTGCAAGCACCAAGAGCCGAGTATCTGTTCTGTGCCAGGCTCAGGTTACTTAGCTTCTCTTGGTCGCCCCATGAGGTGAACCCTAAATGCTCTTCTGCAGCAATGGACCCAAGCTAGAAGTGCAGGAGTACCGGCCTTCGGAACAGAGGAGAGGCAGGCAGGTGTCTGCCCACACAGCCTCCAGTCAAGCCCTCGACTTCCTTCAGCACTGGGCTGCACTGAACCCCTCGGGGCTCACAGTGTCCATTAAGTACACCCACTTCAAGATGAGAACAAAGACATCTTGGGCCCAGGTTTACCCAGGGAGCCCCAGGCTTGCCCATAGTGCCCACATCTTATTTCCTTCCCCGAGGGCCCTGAGTAAGGAGAAAGCTGAGGACCAGGGGACAGAAAGCCTGGCCCCTACAGCACAGCTCCATCTCGCTCCCAGCCTGCTCTTGCAACCAGCATGCCCGCCGCTGCCGCTTCAACTCTGAGCTGTTCAGGCTGTCGGGTGGCCGAAGCGGGGGTGTATGTGAGCGGTGCCGCCACCACACAGCTGGTCGCCACTGCCACTACTGCCAGCCTGGGTTCTGGAGGGACCCCAACCAGCCAATCACCAGCCGCAAGGCTTGCAGGGGTGAGTGTAATGTAAAGCCAGGCAAAGTGGAAAAGGATGCAGAGAAGGGAAGCTCGGGCCTGGGGGGCGGGGTGTGTGGACTCCAGTACCAGGGGAGGAAAGGAATGCAAGTTTAGTAGGAAGCATCTGGGTCCCTGATACTCCACACCCCGTCTCCTCTCCCCACCTAGCCTGCCAGTGCCACCCTATTGGGGCAACAGGAGGTACCTGCAACCAGACCAGTGGGCAGTGCTCCTGCAAATTAGGGGTTACAGGCCTGACGTGCAATCGCTGTGGGCTGGGCTACCAGCAGAGTCGCTCCCCCAGGATGCCCTGCCAGCGTGAGTTCCGAGGGGCTGCAGACCACCCAGATCTCAGTAGAAACAGAGGTGGGGCCTGGGAGATGGGAACAAGAATGGGGAGGCAGGACTCTGAGTCTTCAGAGAAGCCAAGGACTGAAATTCCAGACTCCTCAGGCTTGGGATGAAGGGAGCTTGAGGAAGAATAAGTCAGGGTGCAGATTCCTGGGTCCTGGAAGAGGATGGCAACAGACATTTGCACCCTTGGGAGTCTGGTTGCCTGGCCTCTGGGGGGTGGGGGAGGATGATTAAGGTTAAATCAAATTTCTCCTTTGGGTTCAGGAATTCCAGAGGCCACTACCCCCCTTGCCACTACTCCTGGTGCTTCTAGCTCTGGTAAGACAGTCAGGTAGTGAGATGCCCGGAAACCAAGAGGGCTCCGGGATGGGCTGACGGGGCTCTGAGGTTGTCGGGTCCTGGGGGTGTGGACATCCCAGCTGTCTATCACACTGCAGTGAATGGATGGGTGGGCAGAACACTGTGGTCCAGGCCTCAGGAGCCCACTGCAGATAGCCCAACCCTCCCCAGACCCTCAGTGTCAAAACTACTGCAACACCTCGGACACCAAGGTCCACATGAGCCTTCGGAGGTACTGCCAGCAGGACTACGGTGAGTGCCTGGGAGAAAAGGCCCAAGGCTGCCCAGAAGATTCAATGACACCTTTGGGCTCAGCTTCACTCTCTCATCTTACATGGAAAGGGTGTTGGGTTCTAAAGGCATCCAGGATCTTATAGGACAAGAGATATATTGGGAGAGGGACAGCAGGGAGTGGGTTCTCACCTTTAATAGGGACTTTTTCTTCCCCCATGCTCTCGAGTTTCGAAGCTTTGCTTTGCTGACACCTCTGAGGGTGGAAAGACAAAAGGGAGCTGGTTAAAGAGGAAGGCTCCTTGTCCTGTCATCCCTCAGCCCCTTCAGGGTACCAGATATCTGAGCCTTTGCCCTATGCCCCACTCTCCTGGACTCTCAGGTCTAACCCACAGTCCACATGGACCTAACTCAATCTCAAGCTCAGGAATTCAGCACAACCCACAAAGCTGTGACCGCCTCCCTCAGAAAGCATGCTTTTCCAAATTGCTAGAGGGACCTCAACCAGGACACCTCGAACCCTTCCAGCCTCCCAAACGCATCCCAGAGCCCTTCCCCTGGCAATATCCTCCTCTTCCTGGGCTCACTCTGACCTTGCTGCATTAAAGACCCGGAGTAGTCTTTTCTGCTTTGTCCCCCTTTGACTATGGTAGGGTCCCCAAGTGCCCCCCATCTCTAACTCAATTCCTATCTCCACTGCTCCTAATGTGACTCCCGAAGCCTCACCTAATATATTGCAGGCTCCTGAGCTCCTCTCCCAGTCTGACCTCTCCGCACGACCTCCTCTTTCAATCACAATCGCTGCCTGTCACAAACCACACACCCTGCCCTCTGGATTCCCCAGCACCCAGCTGCAGTCTCCCCCAGTACCCTCCCGACCCAGGCCAGATCCCCGCCCGCACCCTTACCCCCACCCCCACCCCCATCCCCACTCCCACCCTGTGGAGTACAGAGTCCCTACCTAGGCCTCCCTGCCCAGCCCTGACTGACTCATAGGATGGAGATGACCCGAGGCCCCACCCCCCTGACCCCGCCTCCCCGCAGTTCTGCGCGCGCAGGTGTTGGCGTCGGAGGCGGCGGGCCCCGCCTGGCGGCGGCTGGTCGTGCGCATATTGGCCGTGTACAGGCAGCGGGCCCAGCAGGTGCGCCGCGGTGACCAGGACGCCTGGGTGCCCAGCGCAGACCTGGCCTGCGGCTGCCTGCGCTTACACAATGGAACCGATTACCTGCTGCTGGGCAGCGCGGCCGGCGACCCAGACCCCGCGCGCCTTGTCCTCGACCGCCACGGCCTCGCATTGCCCTGGAGGCCGCGCTGGGCCCGGCCACTGCGGAGGCTGCAACAGGAGGAGAGTGCCGGCGGCTGCCGCGGTCTGAAGTCCCCCACACCGAGCCCCCGAGCTGGACACTAACCAAGACTAGAACCGCCTCGCGACCACTTAAGAAATTCAGGCAACAGGCGCGAACGCTCTAGCTCGACGTGCATTCTGCGGAACCAATCAGAAGCCGTGGCGCCCCTGGCGTCATTCCACGTGCGCCGGCCTCGCGCAGGGATGAGCAGAAAGCGCAGAACTGTAGGACTGTTGGGAGTTTCTGCAGCGCCTCTTTGGTTTGTGACCTGAATAATTCTTTTCCACAATAAAGTCAAATCTTACGGAATTTTGTCTCCTGACTCTCGATTCATTCTTGGAGAGTCCCAGGGACAAATGAAGAAGGCTTTGAACAAATCTCCAAGAGCTCCCTGAGACAAAGTGACCAATCTGATTAAAGAACTCTTACGGCGTCACTAGGTGCCAGTCAGATTACTCTCACGTGATGGTCGATGGCCATGAGACAGTGGGTGGGCCATGGACATGGGCAGGCCATAGAAAAAGCGGGAAAATTGATGAAAGGAAAAAACAGCTCCAGATTTCTGGAAAGTTCCAGATGAAAGAACATTTCGTTCCTGAAAATCTTTATTCAAAGAGAATTTGCGTGATATCTGAAGAAGGTTCTGACCTATTCACCTGGCCTTGAAGTGCAGTCAGGACCCTTTCCTGAGAGAAGAGCCCATTGGGAACCACAGAATGCTGTAATGTTGCTTGGTGTTAGAGTTAAATTTCACCAAACCGGCCAAATACAGAAAGTGCTATGGAGTGGGAGGCTGTCCTGGTTTCACCCCTTGCCATTCTGACCTCTGCACTCACAACCAACCACAATTTTAAATTTGTGTGAGCTTTTCTGTAAGAGTCCCTGTGAAGGGGTGCTTTGAGGGCATCTTAGAGGAAGTGATCTGGAGACCCGAGACCCGTTTGGACCTGGAGAGCAATCCTTTTCTTCCCTGAGAGAAAAGTGAGCTCTCAGCCAATAGGGAGAAAGAACAGGCTGTGATGTGATGTCACAAGATGCTAAGCAGAGGGAAAAGTGTCCTCCAGCAGACCTGGGTTTGCTCCTGTGATACTAAAAAAGACAGAAAATAGCCCTAGGGTGGTGACCATTTGACCCCCAGGCCACCAATAAAATCCTCTATCTGGGGGATCTTGTCTTTGGTTTCTAGCTGGGCTCAGGATGGGGACATCTTTGAAGCAGTGTTTAGGAGATTCCCAAAGCCTTATCTGATTTAACCTGGTATCACCGACTTCACCTCTTACAACTCTTTTTCTTCATCCATGCCACTACAGCCACACTGGCCACCTTCCTATTCCTTTAGAAATCAAGCACATTTAGCCCTAGGGCCTTTGCACTTGCTTTTCTCTCCACCTGGGACACATTCCCTCACAGAACAGCAAACTGAAGGTATGCCTTCAGTTATTCAGATTAGGCAAGTTCTGGTGGCTTGACAAAAGTTTATTTCTTGCTCATGAACATCTGCCATACAAGTTGTCAAGGACTAGTTTTCCACCATCACTCAAAGATCCAGGCTGAGCAATCACAGTCAAACTTGTGGTATCAACTGCTGCAACCCAAGGTATCCTTCATCAGTGTGGCAGGGAGAGAGCGGAAACACAGAGAGAGAGAGGGTCCCATAAAAACAATAAATGTGCCGGTCTAGGAACAACTCTCTTCCTCTCCCAGCTCATTGGTCAGGATGTGGTCACATGACTCTAGAGCTGCGTAGAGTAGGGTGGGAGATTCTCCTTCATGCCCAGATAGGAGAGCTGTGGGATTCGCTTCCTATTGCTGCCATAACGAATGATTATAAACTAAGCAGTTGAGACAACATCAATTTATCAGCTTGCAGTTCTACGGATCAGAAGTCCCTCCTAGGTTTCACTGGGTTAAAATCAGGTACTAACAAGACTATGTTTCTTACAGATTCTCCAGGAGACAATCTGCTTTCCTCCCATTCCCAGCTACTAGGCCACCTACATACTGCCTCAGCTCTTCCTGCTTCACCAAAGTCCGAAAAGGCAGATTAAGTCTGCTTCACACTTGAAATTCCCCTGCCTTCTCTCTCTTTCTGACTCCAGGTAGGAAAGATTTTTGGCTCGAGCTGATTGTTTTTGCAGTACTGGAGATTAGACACAGGGTATTTGCACTAAACCACATCCCATTGTTGTATTTTTCTTCTTAACACTTATTGCCATTTTATATATTAACTGTTTATTTGTTTACTATTTCTTTTTTTCCCTTTCAAGTCTATTTTATTTCAAAGAGAAGAAAGAAAACTTTCAAAACACAACAATTAGGGGACAACAATGGTACATACATTTTGCATTGCCATCCCCAAATCAGTCGCCCAGAGAACAAGACATCTGCATTCACTTGTCCAAACAGTGACGCACAAACCTTTCTCTCTTCAATGAATTCGCAGAAAGCAGTGGTATAACTATCTTAACCCCCGCCAAAATACATATATGGTTTCTTTCAGCTTCTTACACTAGTGAGACAATACAACGCATACACATACACGTCTGATTTATTTTACCTATATTATGGACTCAAGTTACATCCATTTACCTATAAAAGTTTCAGATTTGTCCTTCATTATGAATGAGTAGTACTCCATTGTATAAAAGTATCACTTTTTTCTATCCATTCCTCAGTCGATGGGCATTTAGGTTGCTTTCAAGATCCAGCTATTCCAAATTGTGCTGCTATGGACATGGGGGTGCATATATATTGCTGTAATGTGAAGTTTTTAATTCTTTTTTATTTTTTGAAGTTTTTAATTCTTATGGGAAGATACCTAGAAGGGAAATAGCTGGGTCCAAAAGGGCCACCAATCCTAGTTTTTTGAAGAATCTTCACACAGATTTCCACAGTGGTTGCACCAATCTGCACTCCCACCAACAGGGAAGAAGGGTTCTTTTTTCCCCACACTCCCTCCAGGATTTGTTATTGGTAGATTTGATAGTAGCCATTCTTTCTGGGGGAGGTGGAATCTCAGTATTGTTTTAATTTGCATCTCTCAAATGACCAGTGATGTTGAACATTTTTTCATATATTTGTTTTCTGTATTTCTTCATCTGAGAAGTATGTATTCATCTTAGATGCTCACTGTGGATTGGGTTTTTAAGTCTGGGAGGACTGATCTTTTTGAGTTCTTTGTACGTTCTTGATAGTAATCCTGTGTTTGAGGAACAGCTGGCAAACATTTTCTCCCACATTGTGGATTGACTCTTCACTCTGTTGATGATTTCTCTTGCATGCAAAACCTTTTCAATAAGATGAGATGACAGTTGTTGATTCTTTGTGATAGTTCCTGTGCAGTCAGGCTTTTGTTCATAAAGTCTTTGCCTACACCAATGTCTCCTAGAGTTTTACCTATTCTGTCTTCCAGAAGATTGAATGTTTCTGTTTTAATCTGTTTAATGTTTAGATCTTTGATCCATTTTGAATTTAATTTAGTGCATAATGAAACATATGGATCCAACTTTAATCTTTGGCATATGCAGAGCCAATTTTCCCAGCACCATTTATTAAAGAGGCTATCTTTCTTCCAATTAATGTGTTTGGCACCTTTGTCAAAGATAAGATGGCTAAGCCGGGCATGGTGGCTCACGCCTATAATCCCAGCACTCAGGAGGCTGAGGCAGGAGGATTGTTGTGAGTTCGAGACCAGCCTAGGCTACAAAGTGAGCCCAAGACCAGCCTGAACTGCACAGCGAGACCTTTCTCAAAAAAAAAAAAGATAAGGTGGCTTAGTGTGTCTGCAGTTGTTTCTGCATCTTCTAATCTGTATCACTAATCTTCATGTCTGTTTTTTTCCAGTACCACACTGTTTTTATCACAGTAGCTTTATTGTATAATTTCAAGTCAGAGATTGTGATGCCTCCTGCCTTGCCTTTGTTGCTGGGATTGCCTTTGCTATTCTAGGTCTCTTCTGGTTACAGATGAATTTTAGGATTTGTCTTAGTTATTTTTTACTCATTGCTGAGACAAAATACCTGATGCACCAATTTGGGAAAGGAAAGGCTTATTTCTTATAGTTTTTGGAGGTTTTAGTCCATACTCGGTTGGCTCCAAGGCGGAGTGGCATATTGGGGCTGCAGTTTATGGCGGCTGCAAACAGCAAGGCAGAAACCAGCAAGAGAGCGAGACACAACATCTTCTTCCTGCCATTACATTACATACTGGCTCCACCCGTAGATGGGTGTAGCACTGACACCATAAATCCAAGCTAGACAATGAACCAATCACAAATGCACAATGCTTTTGAGGGTCTTCCATGTAGAGCATATGTCATCTGCAAATAATGATAGATAACTTCTTTCTTTCCTATCTTTGTTCCTTTATTTCTTTCTCTTTTCTAATTGCTCCAGCTGAAGTTTCCAGAACTGTGTTGAGTAAGAGTAGAGACAGTGGAAATCCTTGTCTTATTCCTGATTTCAGAGAGATAGTTTTCAGTTTTTGTCCATTTAGTATGTTTCAATTTTTGGGGGGGGGCGGTGCCAGAGACCGAACTCAAGACTGCACACTTGCAAGACAGGCACTTATATCGCTGAGCTAAATCCCCAGCCCTTGTTCATTTAGTATGATGTTGGCTGTTGTGTTACATGTCATAGGTGGCTTTTATTTTCTGTAGGGTGTTTATCATGAATGGTTGATGAACTTTGTCAAAAGCTTTTTATGCCTCTATTGAGTTGATCGTATGATTTTTGTCTTTGGCTCTGTTAATGTGGTGTATTATATTCATTGATTTATGTATGTTGAGGCATCCCTGCATTCCTAAGATGAACCCCATGTGATCATAGTATGTAATCTTCTTCATGATTTGCTACATTCTGTTTGCCAGTATCTTACTGAGGACTTTTGAATTTATGTTCATTAGAGAAATTGGCCTGTAATTCTCTTTTTCTTAGTTGGGTCCTTTTCTGGTTTTGGTATCAAAAAGCAAGGTAATGCTTGCTTCAGGAATAAATCTGATAATATTGCTTCTCTTTCAATTTCATTAAAGAGTTTGAGAAGTAGTACTATGAGATCTTCTCTACATTTCTTATAGAATTCAGCAGTGAATCCATCAAGGCCTAGGTTTCTTTGTTGATAGGTTTTTAATTACATCTTCAATTTCATTTATTTATTTAGTCTTTTGAGACAGGGTATCGCTATGTAGTTCAGGCTGGCCTTGAGCTCACTTTGTAGCCTAGGCTGGTCTCGAACTCGCAAGGATCCTCCTGCCTCAGCCTCCCGAGTGCTGGGATTACAGGCATGAGCCACCATGCCCAGCTAGCTTGTCT